GGTGTAATGGTGTGGGGAATATTTTCTTGGCACTCTTTGGGCCCCTTGGTACCAATTGAGCATCGTTGCAATGCCACAGCCTACCTGAGTATTGTTGCTGACCATGTCCATCCCTTTATGACCACAATGTACCCAACTGCTGATGGCTACTTTCAGCAGGCTAATGCGCCATGTCATAAAGCTGGAATCATCTCAGACTGGTTTCTTGAACATGACAATGAGTTCACTGTACTCAAATGGCCTCCACAGTCACCAGATCTCAATCCAATAGAGCATCTTTGGGATGTGGTGGAACGGGAGATTCGCATCATGGATGTGCAGCCGACAAATCTGCGGCAACTGTGTGATGCCATCATGTCAATATGGACCAAACTCTCTGAGGAATGCTTCCAGCACCTTGTTGAATCTATGCCACGAAGAATTGAGGCAGTTCTGAAGGCAAAAGGGGGTCCAACCCGTTACTAGCATGGTGTACCTAATAAAGTGGCCGATGAGTGTATATATATATGGGGTTTTGACAGTGCCAGTACCCTGAAATTTGTCTCCATTTCTCACAGATGGTCCGCTCTGAGAACGCAGGTAGACATCATCCCGAATCATTGGTTCCGGTTGCTTCATCTTCATATGCATCTCCTTAGTGACATAAAGAGATCTGTTAAAAGTGTTAAACTTTCTACAATGGAGCAGAAAATAAACTTGATGCAAACATTAAGCTGTGCTAAATACCACTGTCATTTATGGAGGTTCAGCAATAAGTTAAAAAAAAGGAATACATTCACGTTACCATGAGAGTTGACGTTATGCTAACAGCTGACTTATTAGCCTGCTAACAGGAACCCGTAACTGATTTTTCTTTTGCTGTACATGGCAGGTCACAAATTAAATTAAAATGTACAAGCTTTTCATTTGATCAAATTACCTTAACACAATAATAAATAAACAATGCATTAATTGCCTACCTCTTACAAAAATATAGTGTTCATTGCTAATGGCTAATGCTTGCTAATAACATAAATATTCTTTTCATTTACTGTACAATTTACTGCATTATGCAAAATAGTTTTTCAAAAAGTATGAAATAATTTCAAGTACTGATAGCCGAGATAGCAAATATTACTATACCAATATACCTTTTATGTTATGTTGTGAATGTACAATAAATGTTGGTGTGTGGCTTCTCATTAATACTCTAGCTCATTGTTTCCCAAATACTGGGTCATGACCCTCAGGTGGGCCATCTCGCATCTTGTTTCCCAGGAGTTTACGAATTATGTCCCCAGAAAAAAAGTTTGGGAAACACTGCTAAACACTTGGGTTTAGCTTCTATTATCTTGGGGAGAGAAAACATACCAACCAATAACTGACAAGACACGTGTCAAAACACTTGGAAAATGGTTTAATGATGTTTACAACAAAAGAACTGTACAGTTACAGTAAAAGATTATCTTTATATGTGTATAAAACAAAAAAACAAAATACAGCAGACAAATGCATCAAAATCTACTATGTATCCTGATTCACATACTTAAAAAATCCTACGCCATCTTTCAGTTCTGGGCCGCCAGGACTGCTGGCTCCTTTTGTTTTTTCCTTTCTTTCCTTTCTCTTTCATCTTGTAGTCATGTCAGAGTAATGTCCCCTCTGTGTTAATGTCCACCGAGACTCTTTACATTCGACTCCTGCCGAGTCAGTTCTTATCAGACTGCCGAGTAGGAAAGGATCAACAGGAAGAGAAAGGGGGACATTCCTTTGGATGAGCCCGAGTTTCCCCACAAGAGTAGTTAATGTTTTACATGATGCTTTTTTTTTTACAGATACAGACTTTATATGTACACAGTTGGGTGTTTTTTTTTTCTTTTTTTCTTGAAAGCCTTGGTCACTTAGGCCAGGAACTGATAATCTCTCACACAAAAACACACACACACACACTCTCACACTCAAGAAAAACATACAAAAATACTATCATCTTTCACCTACCAAGAGTAAGACAGTTTGTCAATTAGTTCCATGCTGTGACAAAGAAAATAAGATTACAATGAACAAAAACGACAACAGACACTTTTCACGCAGTTTTTTTCTCTCTCAGAAATATACCAAAATATACATCTAAGCTTTGGAATTACTGAGGCTAGGACTAAAGCCAGTGCTGGGTTTGTCTCTTAATACACATGCTGCAGGGTGGAGAGAAACTGAGAAAGAGAGAGAGAAAGAGAGAGAGATTTCTTTGGTATCTGCATTTGTCAAAGGTAAATATTTGGATTTTTTGCTTTGGGATAGCGCTTGTGAGGTTCTACACAACCTCATCTAGAGTAAAGCATTACACAGAGTGTCACTAAAGCCAAGTTTGGCCAGAGAGGTCTGAGCCGGAGGAAGGGGGTACACAGTCCGTGCGGAGTGAAGGACCATGATGCATAGTGTCATAGCTGACCAGAGTCTGTAGTGAAGAGAGAACACAGGAGGTGGAGAAGGGACGAGGAGGAAGTGAATGGCGAGGTTCAGGAAGGGGAAGCACAGCAGTGGGTTCTAGCAATGGCAGGATGTGTATTCCTGGAGACAGCAGGGTGAAGTCCTGGGACTACAGTGTACGGGTGTTGAGGGTGGAGGAAGGACAGAGAGAGAGACAGACACACAGGACAGGCAAAAACAGCATTTTCACCACAGTCTGTGAGAACGAGAAGCAGGAGGAGAGGTTGGGCATCCCAGCCACAGCGCTCGGGATCGACCCTCAGTGTGTTTAACACCACTACCTAAAACTAAACTCTCAGAAGGAGAAGCCCGCTCTGCTTCCATTCAAACTCCGTTGTCGATCCCCGCCCACAGGCACAATAACCTGACCACGTGGACACACATTCGCATGCAATCAAAAGTTTGTTGATCGAATTGAGGACTCAGTTGTGCCAGGGTGCAGCGGGGATCTGTTGGAGTTGGGTGTCGTATGTGTACAATCAAGTTGCAAGTCTTTGGTTAATGTTGGTACCTCAGGGAAGCAGGAGCAGGCTGCAACAGCTGAACATCAACATGAAAAAAAATAAAAATAAAATAAAAATGCTCACATATCTGTACTCCGTCAAGGTTGAAACAAAAAGAACAAAAACATAAAGATTGTCAAACTTAACATGAAGGTTTTAAAACGAAATCGAGTGGTTAATTTGAAGGACTGACAAACAAGAATATACTGAGAAACAGCAGACATTCACTTTGTACTTAGAACTAAATGCTACCCCCTGGTGGCTGTGTGTACCAAATACAGGTATGTTGGCTGGGCTTTTTGACTGAGAAGAATGGTTTGTATTTTAATCTTTTTTTTTTTATTTCATTTTTGTGAGATTTTATAAAATGCTGTTTATCTTTTGTTTAGTAGATTTCACTCAGACTTCTTGAGTTAGAAATGAGGTATAACAACAGCTCCTTTTGACCCCTCAATGGTGCCCCCCGCTATTAACTATTAAATAAACCAGTGTTGCGGACGATGTGGCACAGTCGCGAGGACATTGTTAATGCTCGAAAACATCCACCAAAACCAGAGAAATACAGTCAGTGGTGAGAGGATCGTTGTCAGCGCTCAGCTGAAGGAGAACAATCTCACAATCTGTAATTTTGACAAAAACAACTGGAATCAAACAACAACAAAATTACAGTTGGGCTATCAAATCTTCCATAAAAAGTCAAGTAAACATAAAAACAAAAGAATGTGCATGGTCTTGTACAGGCACAGAGGCATTAAAAATCAAATAGTAAATTTGGGGTTCTAGGTACTGTAAAATCTATTTTGTTTTTTTTTTTTTAGATGTTTGTTATTTTCAATTGTTGTAGCAAGATTCGCATTAAAAGAGGGTTTTTCTTTTTAAAAATTGTTGGGTTTTGTGCTTAGGTACACGGAGACAAAATCAAACTTTATTTTAACCCTTGGATAAAATCTTCTAGTGCCAAAAAATGACCAAAAGAAAAAAGACTCCTCATACCTCACTGCCACCAGTCTGTAACACTGGCCATGGGGAATTGCAGTGTAATGCTTTTCAAACTGCCCACACCAACTCTGTAAGATGTGCATGCTTTCTCACACACATGAACTCTCATACACACACACCTGCTGGAACTGTTAATAAAGCTTTCCTCACAGGTTTTTTATACAGACCTGTGTGAGTCATATCTAACTACAAGGAAGGTAGCAATGAAAAAAGAAATCATCCTATTATCCTAAACGCATAAAGTACATTGAACTGTTTCACTGGAAACAATGCAATGAACATCGGTGAGCCCAACCGCCCACACACACACACACACACACAAACGGACAGACACACTCAATAACAATGCTACAATGCTCATGTCTTCTATATAACAAATAAGGCATAAATGATATTGTTAATCTTTGTCAACCTAAGAAAGCCAGTGATGGTGCCCTCTGACACTAAAACAACTGAAGGCATAAAGTAACATTAAAAATCAAATCAAATGATTGTTAAAGACAGCACAGCAAATCAAGTTAAAACTGACACAACCCAAAGGAGTAATAATAATAATAAAAATCTATTAAAAGACTGAGATCAGATGCCTCAGAATCTCTACCTACACCAAACCTCAGGACCTGGAGCATCTGATCCAGACCCTCCTTTTTAAAAGACCTTGTCAATGGACAAAGGACATAGGTGTCAACAGCTCTCATCCAATCAGGGCGTGGCCTCAGATTTTTTTTGTTTGATTTTGGTCTTAAAGATTCTTTTTTTAAAATTGCTTTTTCATCGCAGCTGTAAAAAGGAAGGTTTAAGGGAGACTTTGTTTTGAGTTATCGTGCTAAACACATTTAATAACATACTTGTTCAAATATAAAATATGAGTATCTTACAAGTTTTTTTATATATATTTATATATATTTATACGAAAAAGATGTTGTCATTTCATCTAATTCGAGACTTTCCTCATAAATATTTCAGTAACGTCCAATGCTGCTAATAACGACTGGTTCGTCTAGGTAACGCTAGCACACGTTCGCCTGGTTCGAAACTACGAACAGCACTGGAACAGGAACTCAAGTCCTTTTAGGCTCGTCGATAACAGGAAAGCTCTGAGCAGCGACGACGCCTGCCGAGCTGCACGCAGAAAAAAGGCTTTTACTTTGGCAAGAAGTATCTAAAAAAAATTCAAACCTGGAAATACCCCGTTTAATAGTAGTACTAGAAAATAGCAGTAGTAGGTTGTAGGTTTTTTTTTTCTTTTTTCTTTACAGTTCCTTGGTGTGGTTCTTCAGTATAAAGTCTGAATGGTAGATGCCAAACAGTACTTTCATACATTCTATATAGTAATGTCTGCAGGTGAACCTAATGTTTAAGTGCTGCTGAGGTATATTTAGTCAAAAGTAAATCAAGAACAGAAAATAGTACACAGGAGGACCGCACACGCAGAATTTTTGCCGCTTATAGTTTCAGTGATTTAATGAAGGAGAATCCCTGTGGTATTTAATTGTGTTATTTGGAGGAGGAGGAGGCAGCAGCAGGAGTAGCAGCAGCACGGTGCTACTTTTATGTGGGAGTTTGGTTTGAATGGTGATGTCTTTTGGCAGGTTTTTTAAAGTAGCCTATGGACAGACGAGGGTCAGGGGGCAGAATGACGTCCCCCTCTAAATGTTAATATGGTGCCGACAGATCGTCTGGTCATCAGGTCTATGCGTTCATGTATAATAACAAAAAAAAGAAGAGAACTCTGGATGCGTCCAAACTACAAACCTGCTCTTCACAGGCTGCAGTTGTAAAGCTATAAGAAAGCATCTCCAGAGCCTCCTCTCACAGCGCAGCTCCACCAGGAGCTTCAGCAGCAGCTGGTTAAAGCTCAAGTTTCTTTCTTTCATCCTCATCCGGCAGCAGCACCAAACCCAGAGTCATATTAGGTGTGTTATTGACCGAGGTGATAAAATAGGATAAGAGGAATAAGTATTTTTGCTTTAGCATTGTGGAGAGTAGAGAGTGCTCGGACAGGCACAGCAGCTACTGAAAAAAAAAAACACTTTGGTTCAAGCTGTTGTTTTTTTTTTTTTTTCATATATATGGCTGGATATTAGTTAAAAACAAAATCAACAGAACCTTTCTATACCGTTTGAGAAAAGTCAGAAACTGCTACCGAGGCGACCAAAACTGATTAACAGATAAGAAAGACTGAGCCCTCAAATGGCTAAAATAAAAACCCGGAGTTGGTTAAAACCAGAAGACAAATATAAGGAATCTATTTTCTTATGACTCAACTGGCAAATCTCTCACCCGTCTGGTGAAACATTGAGAGACAAGACATCAGGTCAAATTAAAGTTACAAGTAAAACAAAAGGTTATCTTTGGAACACGTTCATCAAAATATTGCATTTCTATTATCTGCCTGACGATAAAGAGAGAGAGAGAAAGATTCTATTCTCATAAATATGTTGACTAGACTACGCCACACCGACTACACACCACAATTATTTTAACAAATATTTTTGGTATATCTTAAAGTCAGTCACTCAGCCAAGTGACTGCAGACGCAGAAAATTAAAAAAGATGAGAAGACGGAAATGTTCATTCCTCCGCAACAAAAGGCAGACTGCAGCTCATCGATCCAGTTTTTTGGTACAGATACTGTGCACAAGTAGATACCGTGGTACTATAAAAAAACAAACAAAAAAAAAACGAAAATACTCCACTGCCAACACAACCATGACCCCGTCTGGTGATTGGTCCCTTCTCAAACTGGAACCAATCAGACACAGAGCCTTCTGCAGTTACTGGACTGCCTGAGCTGGAGACGACACACGCAGACAAACTCCAACATTTCTACCTCTGGATCCAAACAGAATGTACAACTATTCAACGCTTCACTACAGAAAACAACTTTGCCTCCATCAGACATGGAGCAGCGTGCCTGCGGCTCCTTTTTTTTCTTCTTAAAGCTCTCAACATTTCTATTGTTGTCTTACAAAAGCTCGGCGTCTGCCTTGCCACATAAAACTCAGTGTTTCCACAACTACAAAGAGAGAAGAGGAGGAGACACAGCTGGTCCCTCCCACACCTTAAAGCAATGATAACCTTAATATCGGCCACTTATTACTTGTTTTTTTTAAAGCCTTATAACCACGTTTAAAAAGTGATAGTTAAATCTTAACTTAATATTAGTTTTACAAAGTTCAATAAATGTGAAAAAAAAATACAGACAGTAAAGATAAATGAAGTCTCTAAAATATAACTTTGATATGATTTACATCAAGGCCTGTCTAAAATGAATAATAATAAAATAAAAAAAACCCACTAGTGATTAGAGAATAATTAGTAATAAATCTGTTACTTTGAATGTTAAACAAGCAAAACACTAAAGTTTTTTTGGTTAGAAGTGTTTCAGAAAGATCTGACCTGTATATGTATATTTATATACACACATATAAACAGAAAGTGTGGAAGCCTTGAGGATGTCGAGAACAGTTTCTCTCGCCAAGGCCAACAACAGTGTTCGTGTGACCACTCATAGTGGGACAAAAAAAAAAATATCCAAAAAAAGACAAAGGAAAAAAGTGAACCTCAGAACAGTTTTGAGGTTCTTTTCTTTTTGGTGGCAGCAAAAAGGATGAAATAAGGAAAGATTTGATGGAAAGATCGGTGGTTAGTGAAGAGACTTTGAACGACTTCCCTACTTTTCCCTATGTGGGCGTGAGATAGGAGTAGTGCATGACATTAAAAGTAGGGATTCACTGGGCCTTGGAGGCAGTGGAAATGGTGGAGGTCTGCACAGGCACAGCCGTGGACTGGTGATGGGCGTCGACCTGCAGCCCTCCTGTTGACAGGAGACTAACAGGATTGTTGAGCAGTGACAGGTTCTGAGGGTTCAGGAAGGTCACCATGTTGGAGCCGTTACTTCCTGAAGTGTTGGCAAAAAGCAGGTTGCTGCCGTCCAACGATGTGATGGGAATTGTGCCATTAGACGCCAGGGCTGTGGAAAGAAAGCAGTAGAGTTCATTCACTCATTTTAACCATTCAATCATTCACCCTCACATTCTCTCACATTCACACTTAGTCTCTAAATACGCTGACCTGGAATCTGTATGAGGAAACTCATCAGAGCTGGAACGACAACCTGAGGCACCAATAACCACCAACCACCGTTCCATTATACAGCCACAGAGTCTGTTTTCATTTCATTATAAATGCATAAGGATTCATTTACCAAATAACAAATCCTGAATCCTTAAAGCGATTCATTTCAGAGAGACAGCCTAAATTTAAATATATATAAACTTTAATATGCAAATGTGTTGAATCCTGTTATAATTGTGCATTAAAATTTAATGTGAGACCTAAATTTGATCAAGGGAAATCACCTGTGATTAATTACACAAAACTATTCACTCATTCCTTTGTCAACGTTTCAGACAATGGTTGTTTATTTTATTAATGTATTCTTCACTTATCTCTGCAATTTTAAAACCACCACCTGAGGAATTCAATTGTTTCAGACACGTTTGGTTTTGTTTTGTTTTCTTGGAATTATTGCAACACTTTTATTGCCTCCTACTTTATCACACTGTAAGTTAGATTAAGTGGTGGACATCAGGAGTGTTCTTCCGGTTTTAATCAGAATCCTATCACCAAATGTTTTTCATTCTACCCTTTGTCATCAATTAGTAAGTAAAACATATTTATAGGAAAAATTGTTTACTTCTGCTTCCTGTTTAATTTTCTCATCTCTCTTAAGAAGCTGCATTGACTGCACTCCAGAAAGTGAAAATATCAATATCTACACAATTGAGAAGGAAGAAGAGCCTCAGCATCAGAACCACACAAACCTAAACCCAGGACCTCATAGTTTTTAGGTTTTATTTAGGCAAGAAGGTATTTGTTTAATTTAACTGTTGTATTTTTATGATGGTACAAACCTTGAATAGTAGCCAGAGTGCTGTTGCTCAGGAAGGCAGAACCCAGTGTACTGCTGAGGCCACCAGGGGTCAGACTAAGCAAAGCGCCCCTACACCGGCAGAAACAGGTGAAGATCGTACAGGTGAGAAGTGCATTGAGAAAGGTGGTAACTAGATTACTGGTTGAACTGTGTCTATGACTAACCCTGGAGCAAACTGGGAGGAGGCCATCAGTCCTGGGTTGAGCCCTGCAGCAGCAGCCATAGCAGCAAAGCTAGCAGTAGTGGGTAACTGGGCTCCCTGCAGAGCCGCAGACAGTCCCGGGGCAGCCACCATCACCTGACCTGTCCCTAAAGTGGTGCCTATGGATGTCGCCGCCTGGGTGGGGACAGCCGCCGCATGGGTTTTGCTCTCAGCGGTCATGGACTGACTTGTTGCCGGCGATGATGATGAGCTGGTTGCTGTGGTGACCATTGGAGCATTAGAGATGACGGATGTTGTGTTTGTGGCACCAACAGTAGTGCCTTTGGTTATAAAGGTAAAGGAAAATGTCAGAAAGGGTTCATTCTATTTTGCTGTGTTACCACAGTATAAGGAAGATAAAAACTCATAACCACCTGTGAAGGACAGACTAGAGACACTGGTGCTGGTGAGAGGCATCACTGGGTTTACAGTCAAAGTAGTTGGTGTGTTAATGGTTGAACTGGTCACAAGGCAGGCTGGACTGGCCACCTGAACAACAGAGGGATAATTACTTCATATTTTTCCTAAAACATTTCAAAAAGGACTAATATGGCAACAATAAAAATTAGAAACAATGATAGCAGCAATGAAATTTAGAAGCTAGTCTCACCAGCGGGCTGCTGGGGGTGAAGATGGTTTTGATGGGGGTGCTGCAGCCTCCACTGCTGCCGCTGCTGGGAGGGTTGATCCTCTTCTCCTTCTGCCGGCGGTTACAGAACCAGACCCGAATGACCTCCTTCTCCATGTTGAGCTGGTCAGCGATCATGGTGATCTCCTCAGAGGTAGGTTTTTGGTTCTGCTTGAAGAGGGCAAAGAAGCCAGAATTTCCCTGTAAGCACTGGAAAACTAAACAACAGTGCTGTGCCTTCAAATAAAAAATATACAGCGTGCAGAACATCGCTGCCAGGTTAACCTGACTGAAGAAGGTTTGGATTGATGAGGCAAATGAATAAAGACAATAAAATTACTTTTGATAATATAACCAACTTTTCCTTTTTTAAAACTTTGTTCCCCAGGTGAAATTTAGTTGTAATGTGGTGTAATTAATTTCACCACATCACAGCAGGTGTAGTTAAGATGGGTGTGTTTAATATTATTAAATCTGCCACCTTTTAAAACATTACTGTACTGCACATACTAAGGATGAAGGATAATTATGATTACCTCACGAAAGTTACCCATCCCCTCACTAGATGAACAGTGGGAACTTGAGGAGTAAGTCAATTGTTCTCACCTCCAGAAAGCTCTTTTCTAAGGCCACTCGAATGTTGGTCTCTATACTGGTCCTCTTCTTCCGTCTACGGTTGATCCCCTCTATGCCCATGCCTGGCGAGCCCAGGGCACTGGGACTGGACAATGCCTGGTCAGATGTCAGGTTCTCTGCACAAACAGCATCATCACAAAGAGAAAAAGGGGAGGTAAAGACAAAGTACTGCAGCGAGACACAAGCTCCACCCCCTGCCTTTTCACTGAGCTAAGTGCAGACGAGAGGAGAACACAGGGTTCATTGTTCGTGTCGTGGGTTCAGAGACAAACCTGCATCATTGAGCCACTTTTCCAGCAATGGCTTCAGTTTGCACATGTTCTTAAAGCTCAAATTCAAGGCCTCAAAACGGGAGATGGTTGTTTGACTGAAGTCGTTGCCATACAGCTTCCCCATGGCCAGGCCCACATCACCCTGAAGAAAGAGTCAGCGAAGTAAGCAAAAATGCAGCTTAGGTCACATAACGCTTGAAGAATGTTTTATTTATTTATGCAAATCAAATATGTATAATAGGTATAATATCACAAACCTGTGTAAAGCCTAGTTTAATACGCCTCTGTTTGAAAGTTTTAGCAAACTGCTCCAGCTCCTCCAAATCACTGGGCTCTTCCAGAGTAGGGGTGTCCAACCGTTTGGGTGGTGTCTGACTCTGGGGCAGTGAGTGATTGGGTGTAGTTGCTGGTGTGCGGCTTGGAGTTGCAGGCTGCAAAACATTAAACGAATAAATTATTTTACATTATATTGTTTCAACATTATTGTATTGCCTGAAGATAACAGTGGAAAATAAAAATCACATTTTTATTTCGATAGTTAAATTACCAATTTTGAAACACAAACATGTTAAGGACAAATAAAACGTTTGCTACACACCTGAGGTGCAAGGGTGATGCTTGGTTGACTCTGCAGGAGGTTACCTTGGTTGTGAGGTAGTTGAAGGGCTGAGAACATTCACACAAATAGAACAGGAATAGAACAAGCAAAAAAAAAAAACAAAACACTTTAATTAATATGAAACATTAAATAACAATCCCTACAAGTAGAGATAAATGTAGAACACATTTCTACTGCACTGCCTGCACACTGTCTGTTGCTTACCCTGTTGGGCCGGTGTCGGTGAGATGATGAACTGATGAGGGGTGGCGATGGGGTGGCCGGGCTGAACCAGAACAAACTGGGGCAGATTTTGCTGTGGTAGCTGGTGGAGACAAAATGAAAAAGAAAACATCAATGCCCGGTACTGAAATGATTTTGTGAAAGACTTATCTCTTCTAAAACTAAACATGAGTCATTTGTTCCATTTTCATATAATCCACATTTCAATTAGTGCCCAGCTGCCCCCAGGAACTAGAAAGACGTCAGCAGCTGATTCATGTGGTGGAAAATTACGCTTTTCTAACGTCTGCATAGCATCAGCAAAATCTGTAACATTTGGCTTATCTGTATTTACTTAAAAGTATTGTTGTCTGCTCAAGAATGAGTTAATTAAAATGTTGATTAGCCTGTCACTTTTTATTCAATGTTTACATATCCAGTCAAGCATTGGGGTAAAAGTTCAAATTTAAGTATCAAAAACTTTTTGCGTTTATCGCAGGTTGCCACATAGTCCAGCAGAGGGCTTTTTCTACATGTAGCTCCACCTTGCTCTGTGATAACAATGCTTTTTTTGTATTGCCACACTAAATTTAAATGGGACTATCACAAGGGTGTCCCCCTCCCTTCTAACAGTTCAGTAAATTATAATACTTTATTATTATTGACATTCAAATGGCACAAAAGTTCTTAAGATGTGATCAGTATTTTACAAATAGTAACATTTTTAGCTGCAAACCAATTAAATGCCTAAATATATCAATGTAAAGACCTGGTATAGCTTGAAAAGACCAAGATGACCAACATCCTCGGTCAAAAGAGCTGCATATCTTGGATCAGGGGTTGACACAACCTGAAATAGATCCCCAATGTGTTGACACCTTTGCAATGCAGACACTTAATCACATGTTTTACCAAGTAATTCATCTACCACTGTCACAAATGCATCTTTAAGTCCTTCATTGTTACTTAAATGATCAAAAGTGGGATGTTTTGCAGAAATGTTCTGTCGTGTTTGTGCTTCGGTCTTACTGGGGTGATCTGGATGGGTTGTGACAGGGACAGTTGGGTAATGGGCGTGGCTGCAGAGGCCGAGATGTTCGCTCCAGTGGTGCTGTTCTGCTGGCTGGCTGATTGCTGCACAGCAAGCCCAGCGAGAAGCTGAGCCTGGGCCTGTTGGAACAACAGCTGCTGGTGTACTGGTGTCAGGGTCAACTGAAGAAACAAAGGACAGCAGAAGGGGGAGGGGGGGGGGGGGGGGTAGTGGGAGAAAAAAAAAAAAAAAGAGAGGGGGGGGGGGGGGGGTAGTGGGAGAAAAAAAAAAAAAAAGAGAGGGGGGGGGGGGGGGGTAGTGGGAGAAAAAAAAAAAAAAAGAGAGGGGGGGGGGGGGGGGTAGTGGGAGAAAAAAAAAAAAAAAGGAGGGGGGGGGGGGGGGGTAGTGGGAGAAAAAAAAAAAAAAAGAGAGGGGGGGGGGGGGGGGTAGTGGGAGAAAAAAAAAAAAAAAGAGAGGGGGGGGGGGGGGGGTAGTGGGAGAAAAAAAAAAAAAAAGGAGGGGGGGGGGGGGGGGAGAGAGAGAGAGAGAGAGAGAGGAGAGATGAACAAGTTTGGCTTTAAAAGTACATTTTCACTGCAATCATTCTGACAGACCAAATTAGTGTTTTGAGTTTTGGCTTTGATACCCATGCAACACAAAGCTATAATACCACTTCAAGAATGTGTGTAGCTGGTTTTACACAGTGTTCTTGTTTAAGAATGTGCATTCCTTAGCATTCGTAATAAAAACAATTAATTTGTTCTCATAGGAAAGCACTTAGAGAAACAGCAGGTGAATTGCATAACTTGATGGCATTGCCAACAACTGTTAAAATTAAATACGTTTCCTTCCCTTGATCACTAACTGGTACACACCCTTAGCAGACGGCACCAATGAGCTTTTACAGCCATATTAAAGTAAACAGGACCCGTCACAGAGGTATCAAAGCAATGTTAAAACGTTTAACTGCCAAAAACCATGAGTCCAGGCAAGCAAATGGAGGGAAGACTCATGCAGCTGAGCCAGTCACAGGTGCAAATGAGCATGTTTATGTTCAAACTCAAACATGCAGACAATCCACATGCACAGGGGCTAATCACTCATAAATTGCACAACAGCTGCTGTATTCAACCCGCCTGTCTTCTCGACTAAGGTGCAGCCTCGAGGTGAAGATGGATATGAGTTGTGTCACATGTTCAGGCTGTTTATGAGAGTGGAGACGCATGTAGACTATGTCCAAAAACGGGTCGTCTCCATAAGCCTGTATGGAAGATTTTGGACATGGCCAGACATTCTTGACGATGAACAGACACACCCAGCCTTAGCCACGCAGTCAGGGCAAGCCAATCTTTCAGCCTGGTTTGATGTTCCTGTATCAGCCCAGATGCATGGCTACGACTCGGTTAACTCAAGGCGGTGAGGCAACAGGCCACTTACTCCAGCAATTTGTCCCCCAGCCAACATTAGCTGGGTTTGAGGCAAAACGCTCTGCTGGACGGAGGTCGGAAGAGAAACCGAGTCTTCCGACTTAGACTAGTGGGGGTAAAGCAAAGACTGGTGCTTAGAGAAGATCTTCCTACAGGAACTACTGCTCAGATTGTTAGGTTAAAAAAAGGGAAGGCAAAACAAAGCACCAGAGAACCAGCATTTTTGGCAGAATCAAGAGTTCTATGGAGTTATAAAACATGCTGATTTTCAATAGTAGTGTTTTTGCCAACTGATAATTTTTTGGCTTATAATTAACCATCAATCAATTTTGCAAAGTACCTAAACAAACTTCAGACCAAAAATTGGAATGCACGTTTGCTTTTCTTCAGATTAAAAAAAAAATAGCATATTTTATAATCTGTTTCTGTTCTATGGTTAATTCCTCCACATTAGAAAAAAGCAACATGCTGCTCATTATATTTCCAACCTATAAGGGCAAACCTGACAAAATAAGAGATGCCACTGCCAGAAGGACCAAGCGCAATATGATGTTGTAGATCACTTGGTATCTTCAAGGGTCTAGCTTGTCACATTATACACATTCAAATTTAATTTTGTAGAAGTAACAGCCATACAAATGTGGGATCATAAATATTCTCATTACCTGAAGGTGATTTTGAATTTAGGGAAATAAAAATGCATAACCCTTGGAACACAATTAAAGATGAAATCTCTGTGTACCTGAGAAGCCTCCTGTGTTTTCTTTGAGCAGGGGGAGCAATTTAAATAAAAAAGGAAGTGGAAAAGTGGGCTTTGTAAATGTGCTGCAGCCTTCAGAGACCAGAACAGTGAGGGGTGGTTGAGATGCTAATTAAAATAACTGTTATGCAGTGCATGTAAATTCTGCATAGATTTGCATATTCTCAGCCATCTGTTTCCGAGCAACCGCAGAGCAGCTAATTAGCATACAGGGTTGATTAATCTGCCTCGTTGCCAGGCGACAGCAGGAGAGCCTGGTCTCATTTAAAGGATTCTGCTTGTGCATGTGCGAGTGCAGGAGCATACTACTGTTCAAACTTCAAACATTTTTTGTCATCTTAGGCTACAATCACACTCAGATAGCACGGTAAAACATTATGGCTGCTGCAAAAACATTAAGAACACAGAAAATCACTTGTGGTTAAGTGGGTAATGCTGTGCATCATGCGTTACCTGTTGGAGGAGGGCTTGTGCTTGTGCATTTGTAATTGCACTGGTGGTTGGCACTGTCTGCCTCTGAAAGTCCAATCCATTAGTTTGGATTCCTGAAGACAAAAATACAGATTGTTAATCATGCTGGCAGTGGACGTTTGGGTTGTGGTTGAAGTGGCATCAGTGTTGTTAGTCATTATATACAGGAACACGATAACAGAAGTCCAATCGTTAGAAGAGGAATAACAAAACAGAAGCAAAAAGCATCATTGATGTTATATTAGGTAACTGCTGATCAGCAAATGTTGAATCTAAAATTAGTACTTAACTAATTAACTAACTTAACTAATTAAGTACTAACACTGAGAATTTAGTGACTCCCAATAATATAAATTTGAATAAAAATCTGCAACATTGCTGAAATGTTCTATGAACTTGTGACCTGTCAAATGACAAAAATAAACTGTGGATCATAAAAAAAGGCATAGAAAAATTTTAAATCAGTTTTAGCAACTCACCGGTGTTTCCGTCACCGCTCTCCATTGCACATTTAGTAGTTTCTGACTGATTATTCACTCTAGCATCTGGAAGAACCAGACAGAGACAGACAGTGAGATAGTCCCACATCGACCGCTGATTTGACAATGACAACATCTCAAGGATGTACAGAGTTATTGTACATTTTTCACCTCTATGCAGAACATCTGCTATTTTAAATCAAGTTCCTCTGCAACAGCGACAGACAACAACGCAGGCAAAATCAACCACCTTCAAACCGAAAGCAAACCATGACAACAAAATATTTAAAAAATGTTAAACCCTGGGAAACAAACCTAACTCATTAAAAACTCACTCACTACTGCTTCACCTTTGTTTTCCAGCATGGTTGCTAAGCCTATCAGAGAAAAGTGCCTCAGCCGGACATAACTACCTACAGGCTGTCCTGCGCTCAATCCTCCTCCCACTCTTCACTCTCCAATGGTCAGCAGCGTGCCGAGTTTAACATGAGCAAAGCTACAGGCAGACACAGTGGCACTGTCCAACACACGGTTCAATGGACAACACCGGGATACACTCAATGTAAAAACTGACAGCGTTCGGGGGGGAAAACCTCACTCTGAACTCCCTCTCTTTTCTTATAGCTCTGCCTTCTCTCTTTTTACCACTACATTGCTCTATCCCCCCCCCCTCTCTCTCAACCCTCTCTTGTGCCAAGACAGTCTCTACTTCTGAAAGTTCTCTCTCTCTCTTTTTCTCTCTCTCTCTCTCTGGAATGAAATAAACGACAAGTGCAGCTGGCAGTGTCCCCCAACTCTGCAGCCCTCCGCCCGCTCTGTTGCCCACCCCAAGCTCTATAATGAAGCATAATCAGTATTCAGCTGATTAAAGCCGTATGCAAATTCATCCACCTCGTTAGCAATGCAAGGCTTTGAAGTCCTGCGAGCTGCATTTCACATCGGGCTCTGAAAGCTTTCTGCATAATTTAAACCCCTATAAATATTTATTAGCTCATTAGCATATTAATTGGATGGCTTTTGGAGGACGATAAAACAGGGGAATAAGGACGGCACAGAAAAGGGAAGAAAGTGCTCCAACTAGTTACTTGGTGCAGCACTGGGATGGGATGTGGCAGCACAAGGACAATTATTGTGCAAGTGCACAGCTAAAAAGTAATTAGCTAAGAGCAGGTATAGGGCTGAAGCTATCCCATAATGCAGCGTGAGGCCTGAAGGTGGTGGTCTGGTTATGTGGGCTAAGGCAGACAGGCACTATTAGAGTGTCTTAGATTCCTGGAGTCATGGAGATATAGACAAACATCTACAAAAGGGAGGAGGAAGTGGAGGGCGACAGGGCACAAGTGGAGGGGGTACTCACTCAACCGGAAAAATAACTTCACATTAATCCCAACACAAGCTCGTCATTACTGCTAGACCCCCTATGGCTATGGCATTCCTACAGAAAGTGGGTGGCAATCTATTCCAGTCTATGTTTATGAAGTGTGTGAGGATTAGCATATTTAGATTAGCTTTACATTCCATTAGTATTTCATTTTAGGGGGCCTCCCAAGTTCATTTCCAGCTTGCTCAGAGAATGAATACAGCAGTAAAGAAACAGTCCTGCTATGGCGTAGCACAGGTGTCCAGTGAATCAGAATGACTAGACTGGAATGCATGACTGTATTGTGGTCTGCAGGGGAAGGGGCTTACAAACCCAGCCCACTAAATAGACACATCAATATAGCAAGGGCTAGTGTTGTCCTGTTACCAAAAAGTCTACAAGTATGGGTTGATGACACATTTTTGCGACTTAACTACTAATTTAACGACAATATAGCATGTCATATATACAGTATGTACACCCTTTCAAATGCAATACATTTTATTTGTCATAAGCCTATGGTACCTGGACAGCCCTCATCAAGGACACACCACTCAGTGGATGCCAAATTAAAAAAAAGAAAGGGCTGTTGGGGGTCTTACTGATTGTGTGATCAGTGGATTTACTGATTATCATGCCAGGCCTACAGACAATTTGATTTTCTTCTAAATGACAAGCTATTTCAAGCCAAAAGGAAACCAATTGTTCCATATGAAACAAAAAGTCTATAAACAGACACTTTATTATTTATATATATACACACTTTATTATTACATTACACAATACATTATTTAAATTATATATTCTTTAGAAAATTAAGATATACAGAAGTAAATTTACATAGAAGTGGGTGCAAATATGTTTTTACTTTGCTACTCACAGCTATGTTTCATCTCCCTAACCGTCATGTTGATGGTTTTATCATGTTGCATCAGACCAAGCGGGGATGGAGGTGTGACCTCAGTTCTAACTGCTGTTTACTATCACAAAACAACTGAAACTCAAGTTGAACTTAATGCCAATGAACAGTCATTACATTAACACAAACGTGCACTATTGCAACACTTTTTAATCAAATCACTGGTGATGTTGCAAGTTCATAAGGAAATGACAAATTAAACTTTGAACAAAAAACAGCCATGCTCCTCACTGCACACCCCTTCAAACAAAAGTGCTTAGTTTGGCTTCAGCTTGATGTTTACTGAGCTATTTACCAGAGAGTATACATAGTTGGTGCACTGGTGTTACATATTTAGGATCATTCCCACAAATGTGCCTGAAATAGACTGCCCTAATTGTATAATCAATAATAGAACTAAATTAGAATACAAAGGACATGTGAAAATACAAAGCAGTTATCAGCAGCACATTTTAACATGTGTAATACTAACATGGTTGAACGGTTTGCAAAAACCTTGCCTAAGAACAATGCATTACACAAGTATCCTGTGAAGAGAATTTTAAATAGGTATCTCATTAGCTGGATAATAATGGGAAGGTTGAGTGAATACTGCAGAGCCGTTAATGTGAGGAGAGATTCAACACAAGGCTGAGTCAAAAAAATAAAAACTTAATTAGCACATCCACATTCTGCACTGACACTGGATTCTTCATCCTAAACACAGAATACATCAAGAGCAGCTTTTTTCTACATCTGGACCACTGTCTAGGGTATTTTGGAACGGTCAAAATTATTGGAGGCCACGGCTGATAATTATTGAATCTGACAGATTTATTATGTGAAAATCCTCAAGTTTGCGTATCCTTTAAAACCCATCAACACACTTAAAAAGTATCCTACAATATCAGCTGCAAACATCAACAATATCCTGCCACGTAAATGAGGACCAAAACCAGGTTGCAATGTAATCTGATAAAAGGTAGAATCACTGTCAGCCATTGTGCTGTCTCTTGAGTGGTCATTAGCGAGCTGTCTACAGGCTAGATAGAAACTTTTATCCAACTCAATTAAAGTGCAGTTTCAATGAGGGGCAGTAAGTAGGTATATTCAGTTCATTGCAATAAGCACATGCAGAGGTCAGACATGACTCAATGAAAGACTTTATTGAAACACAAAGTTAGAATTTGCATGTAAATTGAATGCAGCATCCACTGCACAGTATTGATGTGAGGGTTTTTTTTGCCAGTATTAAGACAGGACACTTTTTTCTCTTTGTTTAACATAAATTAAAATGACTGGAGAAATGTACTTAATTTATTTTTGCAAAAATAACAAAAAGCAGACCGCTAATAAGTCCAGATGGCTTTTTAAAAAACAAACTTAGTATCAAGCTCGAGATGAAACAAGGCTAGATTACTGTAACACTGAGAAACTCTGCTTAATCCTGGCGAGCAGATAGTTGTCTTTTTGTCACGACTTTTGAAGAACTGAATATTTTTAAGGTTGTCTATAGGGTTAACTGTGCAGTGATAATAAAGGTCTGGCAAATCAACAAGTGCTCAAATGAACCTCTATGTACTTGTTGGCCAATCAGAAAACAGAAGAACAAATCAATACCATGTATTCCGCTTAAAACCCAAAAAGTAACATTGCACTCAGTGGAGACTACGGCGGGAGGTGTGATTTTATGACCTGAAGCTTTCATCACCATGTCATTGTGATGTAGAGTTTTCTAGTCAAGTAATTTGATGTTGAAAAGTTCATAGACTACAGTGCCTTTCTACTATAGTGATAAACTTTTGTCCAGGAAACACCTACAACACCTGGAAAGAAAGTGCTGTTGGATATGCAGGGACATTTTTATGCTTTCAATTAAAGCAACAGGGAGACATCAGAACTACAACGTACGGTAATCATCCAAGAGGGCTCTACAATAATGTGTGTGACTCAAACTGCAATTCTCTAACTATACAGCAATGACTACTAATGTACTACGTGTAATTTTTAGTCACTGAACTTTTCATGTGCCACATTTTTGGTTGGATTTTTTTCCGAGAAATCTCTGATGACATTTTCAAGTGATTCAGTCACTGCTGAGGGAGCATGATGAAATTATTTTTAGGTCAATTTACAACCCGTAAAGACATTTTAGTCCTAATCTTGTTTTTTAAATAGCAAAAATCTTTTTCTGGGACAGAGGGAGTGAAGGGATACCCTTTGTTCAAGTTTTAAAACTTTTCTGTCCTTTTAAAGTTTACGAACATTTTGACGTATTGACACATTCTGACATATTTACCACTGACAACAGCAGACACATAGTCATTAGGGATACCAATGCAATTCCAACCTGATTACATTTAGATGAGCCAATTATCCTAAAGAAACTCTTTGAAAATACAGGTTTTGATTATGTATTTATGTATGAAATAACCCAAAACGTATTTATGCTAATTATCTCTCCTTAAAGATAAAGACATTTTTGTAAGATGCTTTGCATTGTTTAGTCATGCATGACTTACTTTAAAATTATCAAGGGAAAACATAGTTTTCTATTTAGAGCAAGAGTTTTGAGTTGTGTTTTTTTACTTCACTGACAGGGAAAAAGATTGTATGATATGAGCCTTCATCGAGGCCTTCTCAGTACTTTGAAAAGGCATGTTCTGAATTTATTACTACACATCATGCATTATTCATAACAAATGTGTTTACAACCATGAATATTCATGACGGAACTACAAGGCTACAAGGAATCAGGGTGGAACTGTAAAACTGATTAAACAAGGGGGGAAAGTAGCATTAGTTTGCGGCAGACTGATTTATTCTTAATACATTTTTCAATGCAAACCAGTTTATAAGATCAAACGTTATTATTTTATTATTGTGATTTGGACTAATTTTCCAGAACACCATTAAGACTTTGTTGAAACTCACTGTTGTGTGTTATGACAAAATTATATTCTGTTATTATTCACCATTTGACTTGTACTGAAATTCACGTAGTCAGTGGAAAAACACTGATACAACTAGCCTGACCGTATGTTAGCCAGTGATGAGAAATCTACTCATCGTTTCTCAGGTTCCTATAAGGCTTTGAAAAGTGTATCCACGTACTCCCTGTATCTGAATTACTATTAGGCCAGATAATCTCACAGGTGGCAATTGTACTGAGGTCAACGTGCACTCATATTCTTGTACGCACACACAAATGTAACATGCACTCACTAGGAAACGGGCGCTCTCGTACAGACCATTGCTTAGGTTGCTCTCTGTAAGACATGCGCCCCGGAGCTCCATGAAAGCTTCAACAACTTTTAACAAATTCTTCAAAAACTCTTTAAAATGAACGTTGTTCATTTTTTGTTTTAAATGTTATTAAAAGTAAAAAAATGTTATGTGCTAACTAAGTTCAGTTAGCACAGTTAGTTGTGGCTTTCACACCTGACTTAACTCATTGTTTAATTTTAACTAGAAACAATATGTATTTTAATTGGAGATCAGGAAAAGTTAAAACATTAAAATCTAGCTTAATTATTTTAAACATAAGATGTTAATGGTTGTGGGTATTTGATCAATTAATTAATCTTTGATTAACTGAAAAATTATTTAACATCTATTTTAAACTTTGGTCACAACATGAAATCCTCCTAAAGTTGTTTGTTACATAAAATGCAGATAACATAATGTGGATTAGTGTTTTCCAAAACTCAAAAATATAAAATGTTTTGGTCCACAAACCACAATTGTGACAAAAATGATTTATTTTTTAATATATTGAAAGATAAAGATGGATCACTAAAGCTTGTTTTTGTATAGACTAGGAATTTGTAAAAAAAAAAATCTAAATGTCAAGGTTAAGTTTAACAGTTAAAAGAAAATGTCATCAGGCTGAGTCAAGCTCTGTCTTGCCCAGCAGTTTGAATGGTAAGAATGTCTTGCCTGTTATTATTGTGGCCTTCCAGGGGTGGGCCTCACCACCCCAAACCAACGCCCCCTTGGAGGGAGGTGGAGACCAAGTGTTTTTTTTTAACCACACAGGTAACAGTTTTGTATTCATCCAATGCCAAAACTCCTGTTACTGACACTTAGAAGAAAGACATACCCTTTTTTCATTCATGACTGATGATGATGAGATGTACGAATATATAATATATATGTAAAGTAGTCTCTCTTCACCAAATGCAACTACAAGCAGATATTTACTACTTAGGTTTACAGTTAATTGATGCATCTACTTTGGCTGAATTAATTTATTCTGAACACGTTAGGCACAGAAGTTAAAGAGGCAAAGAGTCAACAAGAGAAATAGCTATTAACAATGAAATATACTGTATATTGGTAACAAAAAAACCCACAGGAGCTACAGCAACGATCAAGGAACACACAGATCTTACCTTTGTCATAATTCTAAAAAGCTAAGAAATTCAAGTTTAAAAAATCCAAAATGTTGACTATTGTAATCAAAACTATATAAATTAACTTGTGACAATTTCGCTAGTGTGGGATCAATGTAGCTGGATCGTATCTAAATTTGCTGAATAAATAAAACTAACAACCCTTAATATTATGTAAGTATTAGACGTTAATGTAGGAATCAGAGTGATCATTACCCTGAGCAATTCCAAGAATCCAATGTGTTTGTTTTTTTACCTTTTTGACCGAATTCCACATTGTCAAAATGAACCAACCTTTTTTCACCCCACTCTTTAAAATAATACTACAAACACTTGTTTCAAGCATACCGAATTCCATAATCGATTAAGATAATAGGACTTTGTTTGAAAACTATCGTCAAAAATCGGAACTCGGGAAACTGACGCTGTAGCCTCTTTTTCAAGAGGCATTCTAAACCCTAAATTCTGGAGGAAAGGGCAGCCTTTCTCACTTTGTTCTGTGCTGAATAGGCCACAACTCTGAAAATGGCTTTTCCATGTGGCTCTTTGCCGCTAGTAAACATTTTACTATTAGCTGATAATATTATTACAGATGCGGCTCACGGCTTACGGCTGATAGAATATGCTGAAGTCCGCACTCCGCTTCAGGGAGGCCCGCATGAATAACACAACAGGCAGCCCAAGCGGCTCCCCTGCCTGCGCCGAACCACACAAAAGATCCAGGGAAAAAAAATAGAGAAAAAAAATTACGTCGAACTCCATTTAGCCGATATTAAACCTAAACCATCCCCATTCCACAGTTTGCGTTTCCTTATGAGCCAGATAAATAGCACCGAAAAGAATTAAGTGTAGCCTCTGCCCGGCCCCAGTGAAAATGAATATGCAAAGCTCTTTCTAACGCTTCAGTCAATGCATCAACACAAAGCCAAGCGTTAGCAGCCGAGCTAACTCTGCTAGCCCCCCGTTAGCATCTTCGTTTCTATCGAACCTCATCAATCTAATGTCTAAATAAGTCAAATATAAGCAAGTGTTGCTTTGTGTTTACTAATAAAATATGCTAAATGTCATTTGTCGACAGAGGTATGAATATGTAGCGGCGTTCAGCCTTCTAATCACACACAAAGGGGGAGGCATGTTTTCAGTGTAATCTGCCGTCGTTTCCTCCTCTGTCAATTTACAGTTAGCTGTAAGCCGAGTATGGGCTCAAACAACGACTCAACACCGAACCAGAGACACTGTCTGTTTTAACCAGTATTCTAAGCGTGATAAATTGTAAGAAAGCCAGTTTGAATATGAGTATGAATATGTAAAATGCTGTAATCATTACCTGGTCCTGAACTCTCATCTTGACTCGCTGCTCCTCCGTCCGCCATTTTGAATATTTAACCCGAAATCCCAGCCCTGAGCTTGTGTTCGTGTGTATGTGTGCGTGTGTGCGCGCGCGCGCGGGTGGGTTGTGTGGGCTTCCGAGAAAATAATGTAGCACCTACCCGTGTTATCTAACTTTAGCTTATTCAAATTGGCCAAACTGACATATTTCTAATTTCTGACCTTCGATCTAAACCAAAGACAAAAAGACCCCATAAGCTTCATGAAACTTCATGGTGTAAAATGGTATCACAGTGGACTCAATTGTGTTATAAAAATAAATACACCCACACACTAGTTAAACATTTTGGCTGTGGTCCTTATGTGGCCCATGGCTTCCTTAGGGCCTACATTTGATGTAAAACAATTAGTGGTGGGCTAAATTAAACAATTAAATAACAACCATTTTATAAATTTAATTGTTTAAGGACTGAATCCATGAACAGGTATGAGTGTAAACCTATGTTTCTGTATTTATATCTGTGCTAGATTTTTGCTAGATTTACATATTAGTTCAAACCCACATTGTAAAAGCTATAATGTTAAATGTTTAAAGCCTTTAGTTTATACAATAAACAAGTTTATACAATAATGTCCCAACGTGGTTTTATTTTGTGTATATATATATATATATTTCAAAGTTGTTAAGAAAATCACTTAAGAAGTGAACACACATAGGTACACGTGAACCCCAAATTATCATCTTATTTAATGTGGACTTGCACAAAGTGTCCTGACAACAATAGACACAGGGAGAACCAGAGGTGGAGTTTGTGCTGGGAGTTGCTGTTGTGACTTATTTACATACTTCAATAATGTCATGCCCTCGTTCGCACCCCCCATTTAACCATTGGTAAATTTGACCCAGAATACATTAACATTTTTATGGCCTTTTACACAACACCAACAACGCCAACAGCCTAACTGAAAACAACATATCATTGAAACAAAGACCATTTCTGAACAGCTCGGTGGAAGCGTGTTCAATACTATACTGCAGCCTGTTGGTCATGTGGAGCATAGCAGCCTATGTTGACCAGCCTCACTACACAAGCATAAAGGTTTCTAGGAATCGTTGTAGTTTATTTCTTAAGTAGATACAACTTTCGTGGATCATTATTCCTGTTTTATGATTTTCTTTTGCTCATATTTGAGCTCAGTCAATTCTCATTGTTTATTCATCTGTAAGATTATATTTTTTCCAGACATTTTATCCTTTTTGTTATTTTTATATATATATAAACTTTTAAACTTTTGTTCCCATAAACCTTACTCATGTCTAACATGCAAGTCAGTGATTGGACCCTAGCTGACATGTGACCCATAGTCGTTCACTTATTACCTGGAACCGCCAACTACTCCATAGCTGGGTGTAAACCGTGAAGGTTACAGGTCGGATGTCAGTCTTGGACTAAAAGCTGAACAAATTTAAGATTAATTTATTTCACTTAGTTTTGTTTTTCCTGTGGCAATGATGACAAAAAGGCAGTTGATATGGAATTACTTATTTTTGATCATCACAGGTAAGATTTAAGCTTCATTTCTCATTTTCTAAGAAGCCCCGCCACACCTTGGTGAGATTATTACACATGTTAATCATTAATCTAACGACTTTGTTACTCAAACAGAAGTTGGATTCAGATTTTACTTAAACAAAAAATATAAAAGTATATAAAATAAGTAATGATGTTTTTACAATTTCAAATGACATATAATATATATATATATGTTTACCTTTATTTCTAAAAGCAATACAGATATAAATACTGTAAATGAAATATGTTACTTTAGACATATATCTTCTTCTTCTTCTTCTTCTTCTTTTTCTTTCGGCTTTGTCCCTTTTTTTTTTCAGGGGTTACCACAGCAGATCATTGATTTCCATCTCTCCCTGTTCTCTGTATCTTCTACTCTGACTCCAACTATCTGCATGTCCTCCCTCACTGCATCCATATATCTCCTCTTTGGCCGTCCTCTCTTTCTCCTACCTGGTAGCTCCATCTCTACCATTCTTCTACCGATGTATCCACTGTCCCTCCTCTGCACATGTCCAAACCAACTTTACTTGTACTTGTGGTGTCTTTTCAAAGTAAAAAAAATCTGAATGTGAGAACATGTTTATTTCTTTATTATTATTATTATTCATTGAAGTTTTATGTTTTTTGGAGAAATAATTTCCCCTGCTTTATTTTGATAATCAAGTGTTACTTTGACTTTTCTTTCAGTATTGCCCTGCTGCTGGGGTATGCAGGTTTCAATTGAACAGAGGGAGTATGAGGTCGCAAGTGGAGGTGATATTACTTTAACCTGTTCCTTCGTCCCAGCCAAACCAGATATCACAACACTTATACTTAAATGGGATGTTGATCCTGTCAACATAGATGAACCTTTGGTGAGAGGTCAACTTGCATCTTAAAGTGTACTTTATTTAATCAAAATTTATGATAATTTGGTTTTTCTTCCAAACTTAGTTTATCGTGTGTAAATACAGATGAAATCAACCTGTGGGTTTATAACCAGTCATGTAGCTATAGTTTTACCTTTAACATTAAACAGCTATTTTTTTTATCTCCTGGAGCATTTAAAGAAGAGACTTAAAACCTACTGCATATGTCTACCTATAAGAACCCCCAAAACATATAATTCTAATTCTACTTTTGTGGCAATTTGGTATTTTTCTGTCATTTTTTATTTAGGAATGGACAAGTGTTCAAGGACAGGTTTTCAAGAAAAAGTGTAAGCCTTTGTAATTAATGAGGAGCACATATAATCAGCTGAATCATTAAGATTAGAAAACTGAGACATCTAAAGTAATATGTTCTCAGGACTAACCTTATAATGCCATAATTTGGCATGATGAGACAAGGCCAAGAGTGGCAGAGAATTACATGAGGGTGTTGTTGGATATGCATATGGACAACAATTTTAAAGGGTAGACAGGTTCAGGTTAATGATAGAGGTTGGTTGAGTTCTAGCGTAGGTATTTAGCCAACTTCAATCAGAGACTAAACACCAAATTATTAACAGCAATCCAGTGGAATTGAAAAAGCGTCTTACATAAAACATAAATCAATCCAGTCCAATTGTCTTTTTCTAACTACAGTATTAATGATAGAATGGCTTAGGTGACTGAGAACCTACAGACAAGACTGAAGGTTTATTTTATAAGTTAAGAATTTTTGGACATAATAATAATAATTGAGTACCTTATTCATTCCACAATGGGAAAATTTACATTTTGACAACCAACCACAACCACAGGAGGCGCCATTAAGTGTGAAGTTGTAAGCAAGCAGATATATGTTACACAAAAACTTAAAAAGAAATAAAGCTAAAACGATAAACCTCATCACCAAGTTTTGTTTTATGTCTGCAGAAACCTGTGGCCACCTACTTCCTCAACAATCCAGTTAACATTGCACCAGGATATGAAGGCAGAGCTACTCTGGAGGTTGATCTCATCCAGCGTGTGAGCAAGCTCCATCTGAAACAGGTTACAGTAAGTGACAGTCGCCGGTTCCAGTGCAGTGTCGTGATATTAGACGATGATGAGGGAACAACAGCTGCCTCCACCTCACTGTTGGTTCTGGGTGAGATTTAACTATAAATATGGATTTGATCTAATTATTTAAAATAACTCTCTCTATATAGTTATCTTTCACTTGACATTTTTGTGTTTTTCTTCCAGTGCCTCCATCTGTGCCACTCTGCAGGCTTCAGGGAAGAGCAGAATACTGGCAGGACATCAGTCTCACCTGTGTATCTGAGGACGGATCTCCAAAACCCACATATGTATGGAAGAGCTACAGTGTTCAAAACATCCCCAGATCTTTTCCCCCTAAGACAACTGAAAGTACGTCTCTAACATATACATGTCTTTAAATGTTGCTCAATGGAGACAAAATTTTAAAAAAAATTCATGTTGCAGAGGATGGAGTTCTGTCTCTCTTCAACATTTCACGGGAAACATCTGGATTTTTTGTTTGCACATCGACAAATCGAATTGGTTCTAATAATTGCAACTTTACTTTGGCTGTGGTGCCAGGTGAGTGAAACAGTAAAACATGTAGATATGTTTTCTTTGCATTGCGTAGTTCTGCTAAATTACTCTGAACTTTAATGCCTAATACTAGATGACAGAGCAAGATTTAGGTGATGCTTTAGAGTAAACCCTTGGATGGGAAATATTTAAGGGCAGCTGCAAAGTGTGAACTGTCTTCTTTTTATTTTAATTTCTTCATAGGAGGCATGAATGAAGCCAACATGGGAGCAATCATTGGGGGAGTAATTGCTTGCGTGGTAGTTTTGGGGATCATCATTTTTGTTTGCTGCCGAAGAAGGAATAAAAAGGCTAAGTATGCTGAGGGGTATGTAAGAAATGTTCTTAATGCAACTATATCTGCTTTATATAAAATGGAAAAAAAAGTTGATTGTTACTGTTTGTGTATTGTAGTGCTGCTGGACAAGTGCAGTTTTACGAGAAAGATGCCCCCGAAGTTGAAGAGCAGCTTTCACAGAGCATGACCAAGCAGGGAACGCAGAATGAGAATCAAGATTCTCCAAAATCTGGACACAAATTTGATGATGACCAACAAAGTAACAGTAGCAGTAAAGATAGGGTTGGTGGCAAAGGTGGTGATACCAATTCCCAACATTACAGAGATGATCAGCGGGATCAATACCGCAGGAGCCGTGACCACCTAGACGAACAGCGGGATCGTTATGGTGGTAGTCGTGACAGGCTCGATGAGCAAAGTGATCGTTATCACGGCAACAGAGTTGAGGAAAAACACAATCATTACAGAGGCAGCCGTGACAGACTTGATGACCAACGGGATAATTACCGTAGCAGCCGAGACCGGCTTGATGACCCTCGTGACAATTACCGTGGCAGTCGCGATAGACTAGACGATCAACGCAATTATTATCGTGGCAGCCGTGATCAACTTGACGATAAAAGCGATCGTTACGGTGGTTATCGTGACCCTTATGATGACCAGCGGGATCGTTACAGAGGTAGCCGTGATCGTCTTAACTACCGTGATGATGAATATAGAGACTAAAAGAGATAACTTTGAGTTACTGGCGCCATCTTTTTCTGATGCACATGATTTTACATACGTACTTTGTTCAAAAAGGCTAGTTAAATGACCTATTTCATATCATGGCTTTGTTTTATGTCTTTTCTTAAATGAAGTTGTAAACAGCAATACAATGATTTGGTTTACATCCACTTTTTTTTAAACTTGGCTTTAGAAAAAATCAAAAGTCATTGTCTTATATTGTCTAAACTAGAGATAGTGAAAGTCACGAGGACTTAAAACGCCAGTTTATACCAAATCATTATCATTTTAGTAGTTTGAATGGAAATGTGTCTGGTTTGGACTATTTCTGGTTAGTTAGCCATAATTGTCATGCTTTAAAATTGAGATGAAATGTGACTGACTCAATCAATGTATTGTATTTTAGACTTAAGACTGTTTGTACCATATCTATTTTATATGGTCTGTTGCTCAAACAAAATTATTTCAATAAAAGTGTAATAATTGTTGTAATAAAAGTTTTGTTTGTTTTTGTGAAACATAATGCAACTCTAAAAGTAAAGGTTGAAGCTTTGGGAGAATGTCCAGAGGTAGTGGGTTTTGGTCATATAATAGTGATCATTCTAGTGAAGGTACTGTATGTAGACTGCCCTTGTACGTGCTCGTGACTACAAATGTTCTCTCCCCAACACAGCCATGTAATATTGATTTAAAAAAAATAAAAAGGAAACGGCACGTTCTTTTATTGGGTTGGTTTGGTATTGTTTTGCAGAAAGTGAATTCCTCTACGGACTCGCCCACTTTCTGTTTAAATTGGTAGGGTTATTCCTGCAGGGACTGTCCCCCGTCCCAGTGTAAAGTGGTACAGTCCAGTCTGGCTCCAGCTCTCAGCGGCTTCACTTTGCCGACAAAACGACATGAAACAACATGCGGATAAACGACACTTTACTGTAAACTGGACACTATAATGAGCGTCTACTGGCTGGCTGTTTTACTGGGAGCCTTATGTGAGTGTTTTCTGTTTTTAATATACGAGTTATCTTTGTTTATAAATGTCTGAACATGAGGAGAACAGTGCAACAGGTTGATCCTTTATAAACTCGCTCTTCAACGAGCCCAGGAACCGTTAGTTTCCCACATAACGGAAAACCTGGTGAACAGAAAAACAGGTTTTTGGTTTTATTCTAGATTTGAATTGTAATTATTACAATAATTAAACTATTATGTAGATTGTTGTACACATTTAATTACATGTTTGAGGCTCTATGTGGTAACGATGATAATCCCTCTGGAATTATAGTAAGTGGCGCTGACTTGGCTTTAAAGATAAAGATATGTGTAACATATCTACAATGACTACATATATATATATATATATCATTTTGTTGAAAAATAATAATAATGAGGGTGGTAATAGTTATAGGTCAATTAAAATTACATAAAAACATAAATACATATATTATCTTCACACGTATCCAAAGCCAAACAACTCAAGGAGAAGTTTTAAAAGTTTGCTTATTTGTTTTCATAAAATGCATTAAGTTGAAACCAAGAGTAAGATAAACATTATTTAAGAAAGAAAAATTGTTTGTGAAAAAATATTGAATCATTTCTTATGAGTTACGTCTTTTTAGGCCTGGGAATTAGTGGGAAATAGCAACAATAAAGCTTGCATAAGCAAGGTTTCACAGCCGGGTTCCAACGCCAACCCTATGAGTGGGAGACAACACCACACCAACTACAGCAGCTTGTACTATAGATGAAATAGGTAGAACTGACATATCTTTAACATTTCAGTAAAATACTCTCATCAAAAACACAAACTGTAAGTCAAGCACTCTCAGTTATTTTCTTTCTTATTGAGCTAATGATTCAGTGTGAAGGAACGCATGACATAGAAAAAGCAGGAAATGTGACGGCTTTGCAGAGGAAGTCTGACTGTGTTCAGGAAGCAGCAGATTTCTGACCTGGAATACATTTGTGACCGGACAATGACTACATCAAAAAGAAAAACAAAAAAAACAAAAAAATACTGTTTTTAAATGAGGCCTTGTATGCCTTGTAGGTGGAGGAGGAGACTGTCTCCTCTTTCTATTACCTGCTCATTACCTTACAGTGAGTCATGGCTGATGTGAACTTTGTGTAAACAGTAGTTAAAGGTGATGCATCCTGCAGTTTCTGCTTCTTCCCATCAGACTGCTCACTTCAAACAAGTGAGGCATTAGTTCAAATGTCTAACAGATGATTGGTAGTTTCACACACAGCACAAAGTGCCGTAACTCCTATTGGTTGATAATATCAACTTCACTCCCCCCTCCTTTTCACCTCAACTAGGACAAGTGGGGGCAACCTAACAATGGACTGGCCCATAAAAAGTGAAACAAAGGAAGAACCAATGCTTTTTCATGGGAGGAATTTAAGAGTGCCTCCTTCACCTTCTCTAAAATAATTTAGCTGAGGCCATTATAGGCATTAACAACATTAGTGTTTTTTCCATTGAAAGTAGAGTCGAGCCATTGTAACTGTTGCCCTGGACAGTTTGGATAGGATTATTGTTTTATATTTAAAAACTACAAACTGTAAACTATAAATATACCATAAAATAGGAGAATAGATGTATTAAGAATACCTAAAGTATCTAAGGATATCCTTATCCTGAGACTCTACTGTTAAAGAAGACAGTGATGTTATATTGTGTATGGGAGAGGATGGTGAGGAGAGGGCCTTCCTGACACATCCTTCCCCATTTATAATGTTGGGGTTAGAATTAGACATGTAGAGAGGCTCAACACTGCAACTTGGGTAGAGGACAAACTCCTATTTCTTCTAAATTGCACTACTCATCCTCCAGAGTGTTGCTTAGTCAGAACAGATAGGAAACACCTGTTATGGTGTTGCAATGGTAGTTAACAGATCATTCTAATTAGTTTATAAAAGATCAGGCCTAAATGCAGTTCTTAAAAGTGAACAGAAAAAAAAAACAACAACAAAAAAAAACAAGGAAGTGCATCACTTCTAGATATACATGATTATTATCACACTGTACAGTAAATACTTCTGAGTGGTCCGGAGCACAAGGACTGGTGGACTTGCTTTTGTTTGGATTTCCTGTCTAAGCAGCAATGTTTGGAGCCAGTTCCTGCCGCACCTAGAACTTATAATATGACAAACAGGCCAAGCACCCGGGAGCATCTCATTGCTCGCGCCATGATTCCACCCTCCCTCTGTGATGACAACCCCCTGCCTCTCCTGCAGGACTCCCAGCCCCCCACGCACAGTGGAATTTAACCTTACTGACCCTGGTACAGAGCAGCAGAGGAGCCCCCACACACCTAACCTCCTTTTGTTCTCTCCCTCAGATTAATATGAGGGCTGCAAATATGACTGTATATCTTAGGTGTCAAATCATCATGAATCATCCTTCCAGCAGATAAAATAAAACAGATGTTTCTGTTGCAATCAAGACACAGTCATTGTTCCGTACATCCTCCCTAAATCTTTCAAGTGTCTTGTTGGTAGTGACTATGTCACTCGGCTAAAACTAATGTAATCTAATGAAACAGCCTTGTGATGTTATGTCTAGCTAACTAGACTCAATATGGTGGAAATACTTTCAAGCTTAACTGCCTGCTGTTTTTACCAGCTAAGAAGACATACCTCTTTAAACAAGGGCTCAAGGCCCAGAAATGTTTAATCTTGAGAAAATGGCTTTGTACATTTCACCAAAAGTTAATCTCAGTTCACAGCAGAGACTCACAGTAAGTACTTTTCTAAGGCAGTCAGTCTTCCTCGTACTGCATTTACCATCCCATCTAACTAAAAGACAAACAGTAAGAACTGTGCAATAATTAAGGAATAAATACACTGCTTAAACAGATTCTTCCTATTTTGTAGACTATACAGAAGAGCAGTTTTGCTTGGTTGTTAGTTTATGAACATAGAACTAATAAAACTAAGCACAATGTTTGAATATAAATAAATATTTAGGCCGGTGTTTAAGTCATGCCTGTTAGAAGGTTGAATAGGTGGCTGCAGACAGTGTTGGATGTTAGGTGGATGAAGGAACTGTTGGTTGGATACATATATAGATGTTGGTGGTGTTTTAAAAAATGTCAGATGAATAGATGACTTATTGTATGTTGAATGTTATTATGATGGATGATTGCTTGTTGTATTAAAAATAGGTGGCTCCATAGTGTAGCAGTTAGCACACTTGCCTTGCAAGTAGAGAGTCTTGGGTTTAATTCCCAGAGGAACCACATTGTTGGAGCCTGTAAGGGGCAGCCCGTTGCTGCAGATCTGCTGTTAACACAGGAATTAGACATTAAAATTATTATTATTAATATTAGTTGCTTTGTATTAAATGTCTGCTAAATGCATAAATACATAATGTAATCAACAATCAACTAATACACTTATTTTTACTTACTTTTTTTTCTACCTGCTTTTTTCTCTCAGTGTGCGCGTGCGATGGCGTCCACGTCACAGTGCGGGAGAAGCAGCACTACGCGATGCTATTCCAGTCAGTCGTACTACCATGTCAGTATCAAACAGCTTCAACCCAGACCCCAGTGGTGCAATGGTGGTACAAGTCCTATTGCCGAGACCGAACACAGGACTCCTTCACGTTGCCGGAGACCCTGGGCATGAAGGCCTCGGATCTCGGTCCTTCTTCGCACCTGGAGTGTTCCGACAGCAGTCGCACCGTCCGTGTTGTGGCATCAGCTCAGGGAGCCTCCATGACTCTGGCTGAGTACTACAAAGGCAGAGACATGGCCATCGTAAACAGTAATGAAATTATTCTCATCCTTCACAGTAATGACATGAAAATGTTGAAACAAACATTCCTATTAAGGTTTGAGCTACTCTTGAGGTTTAGCTTGACTCGCTTTCCAGGGCTAAACTTTAGACACAATTTTAATACAGTTTTGTATGTTTCTTGATTTTATTAAAGATATGGCTTGTACCTGTTTTTAGTTCATTATCAACTAATTTTGTTTAATTTCATATGTAGTTTTAAATCAAAGTGATATTTACTGTGCTTTAAAAAAAACGACGTATGAAACAATTTACATTATCCCCTAACAATTCTTGACTAGAGACATTTGTATTCTTTAAATCAGTTAAGATACCAGTCTAATCTGAATTTAAATACTTCCAAAACCAGATGATTTGATTGGTGATCTGTGATAACAAATATCTGGTTTGTGTCTGTGACTTAGAGATAAGAGACGCAGCAGCTGTTTGACTGCTGCTCCCTGAGATACAGACCCAAAAGCAGGAGTCATAGCTGACTGTGCTTTGTGCTTCCTCTGCTCTTAAAATACTTCTTTTGTCTTTGTCTTACAATGGAGCAGTACACACACACGCAGACGCAAACACAGTCACCACCTTCCACTCCTACTTCTTTTCAACCTTTAGTCTTTATCTAGTGACAGCAGTTGCCTTTTACGCAAAGGTATATTGAACTTAATAACATGCAGGTCATTTTTAAGTTCTACATGAAATAGGATTACATTGGTCACAAACCTCATTTATAGTAGTGCTGAAACAATTGGTTTGAATCTGTAAAAAAAAGGAAGGGAATGCATGTTAGTCAGTAGTGGTGCCATACGGGAGAGCGGGAGGTTGGAAGGGGGCGATTCCAAGGGCCCCTGACTGAAGGGGGCCCAAAAATGTATTTATTGTAACATTACTGTAAAATATTGTTTTGAGACATTCCCTAGTAGATGGCAGTCTTGCATCAAATTGTCAATTCTACACACTATGTAGTACATTATTCTTTGCTTTGGCCTTTGCTGTAACTTGTTATACATTTGAAGTTGACAAAACAGTAATTGATCAAAGCCAATTATATTATATTTTTTCTTCTTCTCCTGCAGAAGCTGATCTGAGGATTGGGGAGCTGCAGTGGGGAGACAGTGGAGTTTACTACTGTAAAGTCATAATTGCAGATGATCTGGAGGGAAAGAATGAAGGCCAGGTGGAGTTACTGGTGTTGGGTATGTGTGTCTGCATTTATTCTGTGCCTGATTACGACTGGCTTGCTTCAATATTTCTTTAGACCTTTTATTTGTAATTTCTTCTATGTTAGTTTGTAGTGTTTTGAGCAGAACCATGTGCAACATCCTGATCCAAAGTTGAGCTGTGTGCTGACTTATATTTTTAACGTAACACCAGTTTCGGTTTGCCATATTTGCACATCCTCCATGTTAATAATTAATGATTATACAGCGGCTCCTGAAACCACGTCAAAGAGATACACTTTTGGTGCTAAAGGTCAGGGATTCAACAGCTACTGTTAAAGGCATAGCAGTGGGACGAGAGGGAGAGAATTGTGGAAACCATTGTTCCCAAAGCCACTCCATAAGATGTTACCATGGAGATGTGTTTCTGATGCGAGACAGGAGCACAGCGAGGGACACTGCTGCTGCAGACATGCAGACAGACAGTCTGCATGTCTGAAGACAAAGAAGAAACACATACCATTATCACACAGGTTTCCTAATCTGATTAGACCAATCACACAGAACAGAGGAAGAGGAAAAAATCTTGTAAGAATAAAAACAAATTCACCTTTTGTGGTGAGGTGGCCCAGAGTTGGCATTAGTCATGAGGGTTTTTTTTCAGGGTGCTTCAGTTTTCTTCCACATCAGTAAACATGCAGGATTATGTGTTTTTTGTTCACTGCAAATTGACCATAGGTGTGGATGTAAGTTTAAATGCTGTTTGTCTGGACTGGTGAACTGACAAGGATGTACACTGTCCTCACCTGAAAAAAGAATTAGGGGTAAAAAAAGTTAATGGAGGTATTGGTACTGTATGTGGTATTTTTTATGAAATTATAATTAAATTAGATAAAGTACTTAGATGTTAGGGTAAATCTGGATGTGTTAACATTTCAGTACTACATTGACAGTAAGAATGTTGTACCTTCGTTTGACCTTAGGATGGTGAACACTGGTATGTGCGAAAGCCCAAAACATATAACACTTTTTAAATACCTGCCCATGTAAGGACTGGGTCTAAACCTCAGTTGTTTGAAGTTTTCTCTGTAAACATCACAACATGCCTAGTAAAACCACGAAGACTCCTACATTAATGCACAGTGGAAACATATTTGTCAAGATTAAGATTAGCCCTTAGCATTAACGTTTTTGTTCTCACCATTTTCTCATTTTCTGGTTTAATTTTTCTTCCGAATGAAAGGATTTTCTCCCTTCTTTTGTGAAATCTCCTTCGGTCTTCTCTGACCCTTCATGTTCACTCACATCCCTCACTGCCTCCCTCCCTCTCACCTCTGCATAACTTCTCCGCTCTCTCAGGTTTCTCAGCGTTACTGATCTTTGTGGTATGTAGATGAGTGTGTTGGCCGGGCCACTGCAGTGAGAATAACAAAAATTATCAGGAAGGATGGAGCCATTTTTTTTCTCTTAGAAACAACACACTCAGCACATACTAACTAACTTCATTTTTAGAAAGGAACAACCTTTAAAACAAAAGTACCCATTAACGCTTTCTCTTTGACCCGTTTATCTGTGTGTAGCACAAATCAGGCATTGTTTCACAACCACAACTCCCCTGACCCACTGAACCAAACCTCATTGTGACCTGCCGTATGTAGCCTAGTTGAAACACGGCTTGCCATTTTGTTAGCATCTTTAGCATCTGTTAAATATGTTCCTACTTGTCATGTTTGTGTGTATAAAACAAATTTATTTTAGGTCACATGTTGCTTGGCTTCTCGTCCCTAATTTAGACTAAAAAGGAACTTTACCTTTGAACTCTGACATGATATTTGATGTGCAAAAATTTGTCAAGTAACAATATCACAATAATATGTAAAAACTGCATCGTTCAATAGACGTCAATGTTGTCCATTAAGTTTCCAATCATTGCATGAATGATCATCTGCTCTTCTTCCAAGCTCACCAGAATTCTAATTCCTGCTTCTTGCTTCCTTTTGCCGCCCTTTACCTGTGCTCTTCCTCTCTCTGCAGGCAGGAAAGGTGAGAAGGACGATCTCCTCCCTGAGTTTGATGTGGAGGTTATGCCAGGTACGGCACGTCAGTGCCACATCTGTACCTAACCCTCCTTTCTTGCTTTTCTAATGAGTTTGACTGTAGACCCTTTCAACCCTTTTAACAAACTAACCCTCACTGAAAATAGAACTACCCCATCCTCTATAGAGTTAGTCTGTTTTAGTGCAGGAACATGTCACCCACAGATAAACATTTCATATCCTTCATCTTTGAGGACTTTCTTTAATCCTGAGGAAATGTGTTGTTAACTTGGGCTGGTTGGGAGATGTGATGACGGATAAGACTCATTTGAACTTCCCCTGGAGATTTTCTTTCATCCATTTTGGAAAAACAGACACATAAGAGGGCTTTTAAAATAAATGACTTGTAGAGGCAACACGTTTTTTTTCCTATCCAGCAAGTAATTTCACACGGTTTTACTTTAAATGTTGTAACTAAAACGTACATGATTTGAGTTTGAATGTTTACATGTGTTTGTGACTCTGTTCCAGAATGGGCTTTTGTGGGATCTGTTGCCCTGGGCAGTGTCTTACTTCTGTTATTTTTGGGGATCTGCTGGTGCCAGTGTTGTCCACACTCCTGCTGCTGCTACGTCAGCTGCTGCTGCTGTCCAGACACCTGCTGCTGCCCACGACACTGTGAGTAATGAAAGACAAAAATTACAATTTCTGACAAGACACATTTTAACCTGACATCAATGTCTATACTTGTAGTGTATGAGGCAGGAAAGATTGCCAAAGGTGCACACCAGGCCCAGGTACCTGTGTATCCCTACTACATGCCCAGTGGGCCCACTCTGGTCCCTTTTGTTCCGTCTTCTCAGGCAGAACCAAAACTCGTCTCCATTCCGTCCATGGAAAACAACCTAGCTGGAGGTGAGCATCATCAGTATACATTATCCTGTAGTTTTGCAGCAAAAAGTATTAAAATCAGGATAAGGATCATTTGTTTAGTGGGATTTGAACCCACACCTCCATTTGGAGACCAGAATTCCCAGTGTTGAGGAAGGTATGACCTTGAGTCTGGTGCCTTAGACTGCTCAGCCAATCTGACAGTGTACATAATTAAACAACAATTGATTTTCATAATTATATATATATATATATATATATATATGTATATATATATATATATATACTGTATATATAGGTGTAACATTCATCCCAATGACCCTCATCCAACCCACCATCATTCACTCTGTCCTCATGGAATCTCTTTCTAATCTGTTTCTGCATGTTTGTGGCTTGGATCTCATTTAAATGTCTGAGTTTTTTGTCAGAATGTGCATAACATACATGTGTGTTCTGTGTCGCATGAATACTATATGTTGTTGTTGTACGTTGCTTTGTGTGTGTATGGTTGCTTCTGTGTGTGTGTGTGTGTCAACATTTACAGTGCGCAGTGGTTACCGACTGAAAGCCAGTCCACACCAGGACTCAATGAAAGTCCTGTACTTCATAGAGAAGGACCTGGCTCAGTTACCATCTGCCAGGGTGGCAGCTCTCAAACGTAAGCCTTCATAGTTAAGGCCCTGTCTCTGTGTGGGTGTGTGACAGTGTGTATCTGTGTTCATCCATAGTGCTTCTCCATGTCTGTCTCCTGTGTTTATTTAGTCACTCATCTTATCCCTTCAATCATGTCATTTGATCTAACATAAAAAACTGTTTTTGCAAAAATGAACATTGTTATTACAACTTTACCAATTTGTCCATTTCCACAGCCAGTAGCGTGTCAGAGCTTAGCTCTCTGCACGACGGAGGAACCAATGACTTCAGACACACCTATCAGACAGTCCAGATGAAGGCACTTCCTCCCATCACTGATATCGATGACCAGTCAGTAGTTAGGGCAGCTCCACCAATACATAGTCAAAGACTGAGAAGAGACAGAACCCACCTGTCAAATGATGAGTTGGACAGAAGGTAACATAACAGCAATGTCTCTCTATGGTAATTCCATGTTTGTTATGTCTGTGTTTTCAGTCATAAAACAGTCTCAGTTAATCCAAACTAACCCTGTACTCATTAAATAACTGTTAGGGCAGGTTATTACAGCCTAAAAGTGTGCAATAAAAATTGTAATCTAAACAGCAGACGTGACAGAATGCACACACATGTTCATGGATTTAATCCAGGTTCTCATGTGTCCTCCCTGGGATCTAGGTTAATTGTTTCCTCAGTGAATGTGAACTGTTGTTTGTCTCTACACTGTCTCGCCTGATGACTGCTGGGATTGTCTCTAACTGAAGAGGATTAGGCCGTATAAGATAAATGAAGGGTCTGTGAGGCTTTTTAGGCAAGCTTGTAACTAGTTAGCTTTATTTACACAGCTACATGGACTGGAGATTGACTAGTTTACACAGCTACATGGACTGGAGATTGACGGGTGCTAGAGTGGTGCCGTTGTGAGCTGAAGCCCTGGAAGGTCATGTGTTGTAAAAAATATGCCTAATGACTACAATGATTGTGGTGACCAGTGATAAAGGGACAAGCTGAAAGTGATTCATTTATAGGTCGAAATGAAACAGAGCCGTGAAACTGTGTTTAAAAAATGAATAAAGTGTACAAACAGGAAATGCTATAATATAACGCAGGGTTTCTCAACCCAGCAGCCTTTTAACTAGTTCTTCAAACCCTGAAATTTATCAATTACTGATCCAGTGTAACTGTTGTCTCAGTAGTGTAATGCTCCTTCTCCCCGCTGTTTTAGGTTGAACACTCGCTCGGAACACCTGGAGCGAAAGACACTGAGCAGAAGAGGCCGCACAGGTTCTCTGGACGAGCTAGAGGAATTTGCCCGCTCTTATGACTCCCGTGGCCGTCGACCTGAGCCTCCCGACAGGACCTATGACCGGGATTACAGTCCTCCCAGACGTTTCTACAGAGATGAGGAACAGGACTGGAGACGGCGCAGCCCCTCACCATTGCCACAAAAGAGGAGGGACACATGGGATAGTGATCGTCCCACTCGTCTGCCTCAAAGCAGAGGATATGATGACACCTTACTCAGCAGTGTGCTGGAGACTAAGGTAAGAGGGCGTGGAGGGGAGAGAGGTGCTGGGAGGATGGACGAAGATAGTGACACTCCATCCAAAGGCAGCTCCAGAGGAAAGAATAGTGACAGCTACTACAGTCGGTCACCCAGCAACCGTCCAGAAGAGGATGACCCTTTGCCTCCTTACTGCGAGAGGGAAGCAGAGCGGTACCGCAGAACTGAGGGTCCTACAAACCAATACCGCACTGCAGAACCCCCCAGACCTGACAGATACAGGACCACTGAACCCTCCACAAGGCCTTTCTCTTACACCCGTGCCCCTAACCATGGAATGTCCCACACACTGCAGGGCAGTAGAGATGAGCGAGACAGGAGCCGGAATCTGGTGAGTTATTTGTAGCAGGAACAAGGACTTCCTTCCTTTGCAGCCATTCAGGAAAGAAGTTTCAAAGTAATGTAAAAAAATGCAGGATGAAGTTGTTGATATTTTTCAATTTCAGTCCAAGGAAGACTGATGTGTTCTTCAATCTTTTCAGTATTGTTTAGTAATAACTGTACAGCACATGTAGTTGGAAGTGTTTTTTCCCCAGTCAATAGAGGGATTGCACTGCTGTAAATCACCACAGACAAAAAGAACAGAATAGAGAAACATTACTATTTTCAATTTTTGTGTTAAGTCTTAACAGTAGAAAATGTAGAGAAAAAGTTTTATGTTTTTTTCTCAAACATTTTACAACATTCTGATTATCTCTTACACTGTATAAATGTTGGTCTGACTACTGGATATGTTTACATTGAAAACAGTATTCCACTGATGTCTGGAATAAGATATACAGTAGGTTCAAATAGAACATTGCCAGACAAAAGTAACCTAAGGTTTTCGAGGAGTTCTTGAAATAAAACAGGTTCGCCTGTTTTTGTTTAAATGTAGTTTAATGTAACATTGTGTAAATATTACATTGAGAAAGAATAATTTTTTTTGGTTTGAAATGAGTGAAGAGTGAGCAGCTCACTCTTACGCATGCTGAATAATAAACAACTATATCAGGATCACAGTCACTGCTAAGGCTCGATACTATATCAGGATCACAGTCACTGCTAACAAGGCTAGAGTTTCACTACTGCTGTGCTAGGACTTTTTAAAAACCCATTATATGCTGTTGAGAGCTTTTCGGTTGGAGAGGACTATTGAACTGGCAGCACTATCTTCACGCTCTACTGGACCACACATGGTCAGATGTACTTCTTCAAGCATTTAGAGGTGCAATGTAACATGTCTATAATTTCAATGCTTACCCTGATGCTTTTAAAGTTAGTGTAAAAGTGACAGCCCTTTTCCTTACATTGTGTTGACATTTTGTACCTTACACCAGCTTCACTAACACCACACACGCATGAATGCCAAGCCCCTAACATATGGCTGTCGGTGTTTCCCCCTCGACAGAGCGCTGCGCTGAGCAGGGACTCACTCATAGTGTGAAGAGTTTTTCCATCATCCTCCATCTGCAAAGCACTGCCAGTCTGCTCACTTAAACCGTCCTGCTGTCACTGCACAGGAACAGGGGAACACTGTTTTGCCGTCAGCCACAGGAAGTGCACATCCTGTCAATCACTGACAAAAAAAAGAAAACGCCAGTGAAATAAAACTGCAAACAAACAGCATGTGCCTATAGTTCTGTGATCCACAGACAAATTTTACAATATCTGTTGAGTTGTGTCAATAATTCTATTTAAAACTAGTGCCATACATTTTTTTATTATTATTTTTAATTATGCCAATTTCAGAACTGCTGTAAATAAACAATACAGTTGAAATATTACACAGTCTTCATATTCATTACACTGTAACTCAGGATCATTTTATGTCAGTTTCTTGATGTTGTACTGTGTATAAATGCTGTTGCACTGTTTAAATACGTCTTTAATAAAAAAAACAATTTGCTCAAGTTATTTCCAGTTATATTCAAAAAAGGTTAAAAAATATATTTTCAAAGAAATTGCAAAATATTGTAGTCATAAAACTTTGCAAATACTCTGTCTCATTTTGGTGTGCAGCATTGTGTACATTCTATTTAGGTTTTGTAATAGTAATAGTTGTCAGATTTTTTGTTGCCTTTGTTCCATTAGAATTACAATTCATTAAAACTCACGGCAAGTATTATTCTTGTCAATTTGTGCCACCTTGTGGTTACTTTGTGCATACTAGAGGTGATTCTATTTGTTGTCACCTTGTAGTTGTAGTTGTTGTGCGTCTTTTTACATTATAGGTCTCTTTTCTTTCAAAAGAAAAATACACCTTTTCTACAGTTTGCTAAAAAGAAATCATTTTAGCATTGTTAAATATCCTGCAATTGATTTGTTGCATATCATCTTTTTTGTCCTTATTCTGCCATTTAATGTTTTTGTGGTCATTGGCATGATTACAATTTGACAAACAAATATGTAGATATTTAGGCTCTATACTTAGCAATGAATATTACCTCACACTTTTAGTACTGCAAACACTGAAAGGGAAAGAATTCAAATCTAAAACCTACTTGGATTAGATGACCGCGCTTTTCCTTCATGAGTATTATTCACAAGAATTCAAGTACATTCTCTAGAGCAGCACTTGAGTTCATCTTAGACCAGTATGTTTTGTGTCAACAATAAAGCTTGCCAAGGGCTTTGTCACTGATAACAGAAGTACACAAGCTCACACCAAAAACCCCTTATGCTTTTCCAATGTGACTCAGTCTGTAAATGAACTTTATCCCGACAGTGTGTTTCACACACACAAAAAAACATGTTTGTGATGCTGAGCTGCTTCCACTTCATACAAATTAGCATTTAGATTATGCAAGTTGGACGCTCCTCTTTTGATTGAGCTTTTTTTGTACACATCATTGAATATTCAAAGATTCGGTCCTGGGTTAATGTTGCATTTAAAAACAACAAACTGAACTGTTTACACACAACACTGCTTTTATAACTCAGTTTAGAACATGTTAGTAATTTATTGTGGCTGTTTTTTTTGTCACCACAGGGTTTTCTTTTAGGTTCCTTGTGTGTTTCATTCGAGGTCTTCTGTGACTTCTTTGTAGAAGCTGTAAATGTGTTTGTATCTATCTAATATCTAATATTAGAAAGTGTTAAACTTTCTAATATTAAACACACAATACAAATTAATAGAATTCCATTCAAATAATAAAGACACATTGAACTAAAGAAATAAAAAAAAGCTTATTATTGTTAATTATATCACAACATATATACTTCTTATAATTGTATCCAAAGCAGTTACATCGAGGGTAAGTGGACTGGTTTCTTAAAATTGGCCTAGAGGAAACTGCTTTCAATAAGATAACCTGGATGACCGAGGACCTACAAAGACATAAATGTATGATGTGTTTTGTTTAGCAAACCATACTTCGTCCTCTGGGATACACACTGAAACTCCCTAATAGCATAATAAACAGAAAATACCTATTCCTCCTGAATAAGCTTCTTCCTGCTTCTTCCGGTTTCCTCCATTTTGCACCTGTGGGACTGGGCGGGATCATCTACGTCACGTTAAGTTGTTTGGAGACTGGGGTGATCTCATCTTCCTCCGCCGTGGACTCACTGCCTGGTCTTTCGACATCTGTCTATACTTTCACTGCAGGGAAAAGGGAAAACAAAGACGGCCTGACCTAATCTATAACATGTCGTTTTGAGTCAAAACTAAATTGACTATGCAAAGTCGTGGCTCTTAGAAAAGTTTCCGCGGAAGGATAAAGACCGAGGCAATGGGAAATATGATCCTACTGCTGCTGCTTCTGCTGTTTCAGCTCCCCACAGGTGAGCCATTACAGTAGTTTCTGTGCGGTTTCTCTTCATATTTTCCCGGCTGTTTTGTTTTACAACATTTTACCTACAGGAATGTAAAGTAAGGCCACCTAAACAAACAGTTGGGAGTCACAAAAATGGGAGCGCGTAAATTATTAACTGTGCAAGGCCAACAGGTGTCACGTGACGTCTGTGTGTACCCTTAAAAATATAATAAAACTTGAAATTTAAACGCCTGACATTACGTAATAATTATTAATTAAAATCTCATAGTTTTTACACATTTGTTAAAAAGCAATTGAGCTTTATACAATTTATCGAATAATTTAATAATAATAGATTATTAAATATTTTAGTATTTCTAAATGTCTGAGTACATTATGTTGTTTTTATTACTCATATTATTCATATAGAAATAAATAACTGAGCAGCATGAAAAAACTGACAGGTAAAATGGTCTAAAGGGCCCGTATTGCTTGGGAAAACAAACTAAGAGTGCTGAAATGACATTAAGCAGGTTTCGGGTGATAAAGGATAGAGGTAGGAGTGAATAAGCAGATTGTATTTGTTATTGTGTTTGAGTAGAGATAAGTGTAAAGAGACCTGTGAAAGTTATGACAAACAGTGAGAGGACTGAGGAAGTAAAGATTGTGAATCAGAAAGTTGTTTCACTACTGAATGACGTGTTATTGCTTCTAATGAAATAATTCTTTGAGAGAAGTCATGTGTTCACAATTAAAAACACTCTGCAGTAAACTGTTAACCAGTCTGGTCAGATTCCTGACAATGCAAGTATTAAAGACCAAAGTTCTAACTCGTGTAAACAAGATCTTTTATGTTTTAAAATATCAGTAATTTACATTTTTCTCAGTGTGCAGACAGGTTTTCTGAATTGTATCTTGACATTTGTCTCTGTTCTTGTGTCAGAGTTGTTGTCTATCCAGGTGATTGTTCCAGAGACTGAACGGAGGACGACACTCTTTGCCTCCATAATTCTGCGCTGTGACTATTCAACCTCAGCAAATGCTCAGGATGTTCTGGTCACCTGGAGATTCAAGTCCTTCTGTAAAGACCCAGTGCTGGAGTTCTACTCCACAGGTGAATAGAGAAAGTCATGTTTAAGTTCTCATTTCAATGTGACATTTCAAAAATCCATTTATTAGGTTTCAGAGTTGCATATTACCATATTTAAAGTTGTTATAATTCTAATTTTAAAGATATATAGCTTCCTCCTACATTTTGTTTCCAACAAACTTGATTTTAACCTAGGATTACAATTTGAGTCAGCCAATATTTGGAAAACAAATATTCTTTCAGAATAGGATCGGACAGAATAATTATTTTCTCAATTCAATATTAATAAGGACATTTGTAATAAGATTTTTTATGGAAAGCTGTGTCCACATCTGGATTGTATTGACTTTTTCTTTTCACTTTAATTGGTGCTACAGCAGGATTGACAAATGCATCTGAGAAAATGTCTTTTTATTATTGGACTTATTGTTGCTAAAACAAAAATCTTCTGTTGACAAAAGTGTGACATCAACCTTGTTCTGTTTCATCATTGTGTTTTCACTACTAATAATAATGTGAAGATAATTCAATAATTTACATTTGTTCCTGAAGGTTACCAGGCGGCCCTGCAGCTTGGTCAGGATCCCTCTAACGACTGTCCCGATCGTCAGCGTGTAGTTCGTACTGTGGTACAGAAGAGAGGCCTGAATGAGCCCATTCTGGGTGCAGAATACAGAAACCGCAAAATTACCATACAAAACAGTAAGTATGCTGCAGTGGTATATGTAATAGAAAATTCTAACATGATGAGCTGTATTCTGGTCATTCCTTGTGCACTTTTTTGCATGAAAAATGTTTGTAATTTTCAATTTATTTTTTGTTCTTACATTACAACAGAGGCAGACCTGGCCATCACTGAGGTAATGTGGTGGGATAATGGTGTTTACTTCTGCAATATTGATGCTGCTGGAGACACAACAGGAGACTCAGATCGTGAAATCAAACTCATCGTGTACCGTAAGTTTTGTTCCCTTCTAAACTTTTTGAGGTTACTGACTTTACTATGAGGTTACTGACCTAATATTTAATTCCAGACTGGCTAACAGTCCTGCTGATCATCCTTGGTGCTCTGCTGCTCATCCTGCTCTTGGGCATTTGCTGCTGTCAGTGCTGTCCACAGAAGTGCTGCTGCTACATTCGCTGCCCGTGTTGTCCACGGACATGCTGCTGTCCAGAAAAGGGTAAATGACAATGAGAATAATATGTCAATAATAATAATAGGTCTGAACATCAGAATAGGAAAATGCATTATTACATTTTATTTGAATGGTATCTTGCGTGTGATTTCAGCGGTGATGCAGCACAGGATGCTGAGAGAGGCTCAGAAGGCAATGGCTCCGTGGGTGAATGGTCAGCCCATTTATGCTCCCATCAGCTCCAATTGCTCAACCCAGGGAGTTCCCATACTGTATTCAGGTGAGCAACACAAAGGCTCAATGCTTCGATAAGTATTTGCCCACCGCTAATGTTTGCCTGCTGTGTTCTTTGATGTTGTTTCACCTTTTCTTGCAAAAGAAAGGAGAAGCAGTGTCCTCCCCCCCCCCCCCCCCCACACACACACACACATAATCTTCTTATCTCTGTTTTTGTGGCACTCATGTTGCAATGATAGCAAAGAATAGCAGGCCATGGTAGTGCCTGTGATCACAAACTCAGTTGCAAGTTTGAGTGTTTATTTTTCTTTGCTACAATTTATTTGTATTTTAGCTGCTTCACTATTGGGCGGAGAAAAAAAAATCACAAAGCACAATACACACTGCAGCATCTAATAATAATTTCTGCGTATACAATGATGCTGTACTGCACAGTAAGCAAACTACAGCACTAACACTGCGTAATAGCTGTACACTTCGGACAGCGTTCGAGTAAAACCTGAGTTGTTTCCCATTTTACTACAAAACATTATTTAAACATATACATAACTACAAACTATATATAAATGTATTTTAAATGTTTCCAGGCTCGTTTTCGGACCATCCTGTCAAACCAAACTTTGCCATGGCTCCCATGCAGCTGGCACCTATGGCTCTGCAGCACCACACAGCTGCTCCCTCTCCACTTCACATGAACGGCAGTGTCAACGGCAGCATGCACGGTAATAGCCAGGTTCTGGACTATCTGGAGCACCAGGTTAGGGGTCTGGATTTATCAGTACCAATGATGGGTCCTCACCCAGTCCAGAGTTTTCCTCCTTTGCAGCCTCAACTGCAGCCCCAGTCTCCTCCTCCTCCACTTCCCCCTGCTGTTCCATACACTCCAGGACCCCCCAGTATGTTGTCAGCTCTGGATGAGATGGGAGTGAGAGGAATAGAGAGAAGGGTGATCACCTTGCCCCCCATAGTCCAACGTGTACCAAGCTTCTCCTCTCGAAGGGGGCCTGGAGCAGGAGATGGAGCCAGAGGAGGCCCCAGGATCTCCAGTCAGTCCAGTGGGAGCACAAGTCAGTCAAGAGGTGGCGCTCCTCGTGAAAGACGTCAGTACAGAGACAGGGAGGTCTCTCCTCCCAGACGAGGGATCCTACGTGAGTACAGTGATGACTCAGACTGGGATAACAAAAGAGGAAGAACGCCACACAGAGGTGCGAGGAATGAGAGGGGAAGCTCAGGCACGAGGAGAGGGGATGGGTCCAGACTGAGGACCAGAAGTCGAGATGATCTGATGGAGGAGCTGTACAGCAGATCAGCTCGGAGGGAGAGGAGCTATTCGCCTCCTCAACATCGCAAAGGATCCTGGAGTTCTGATGAGGACTACAGAGGAAGAAAACCAGGGAAGTCCAAGGACTGGCCAGAGAAGCCTCCCAGTTACTTCTCCATCGATGTCCAGCCTGGGCAGAGCAGCGACAGGAGAAACTATAATCGACTTTCAGTAAGAGAATTTAGCTCAGAACCTCTAGACTGCTAAGGGTGATTCTGTCTGTCATACACTTATATTTCCTATTCACTCTTTTAAATTCTTAATTTCTTCACTTTGGTGGAAAGTAATTACATGGTGCGTTTCAACCACAGGATATCAGGAACTTTAAGTACATCAGTATTACTTCAATATATATTTTTATATTACCTTGAACCTAAAATATTGTTTGAACCTAAATCAGTTCTGATACTTTCTTCCAACTGCTACTCCCCTGAAGTGATAATATAGTATTTCCTTTCAGTGTCATCATCAGCTCAAACAATATGTTTGGTTTGTGACTAGTTTGTGAACTAAAACCTTTGCCTCTGTCACTTTGTCTCTCATAGGATAGAAGCTCCCGTAGCGGCACAAGTGTAGTCATCTAAAGCATTTGCTTCTCTTTTTTTTTCAAATTTTCCTGAATATTTCCAGAATGATGACAATGAAGACAAAAAGTAGGTACTTTTATTCTTTTCAATATGTTGTTAATAATATGTTTCTGTGTGTGAGGATCTTGTGTTCGTTTTTTATGTGTTAAGATGTGGAAAATAAATGTAAAGAATATGCTTTTGTATCTGAAAAAAAATTATGTCTAACTTAAAAAACAGAGATGCAGCTGTAAACTGGAGACCACAGGAAGTTATTAATTATGAAGAAGATTGTGATTGTGTCATAGAGTAAATGGATTCCCTATTGGTTGGTGTTTTTCTTCTGGTGGTGGATAAAAACGTCCTGATGTTTGTAAAGTAAAACTCTGTTAGTAGTAGTTACTTATACCAACAAATACTACTGTTTCTTTTTTATTATTGTTATTTTGTATTGTGTTATTATTGTGCATGTGTATTTTATCATTGATTGTGACATTTGCTTTTTAATCATTTAATGTGAATGTGAACAGAGGTCGTAGATAGTTTTATTTTCTTTCTGTCTTGTTATGTTTTCTGTTATTAACATGAATATATATGCACTGCTGTGAGAATAAATGTTTTTAAGTAAAACAAAGTTATATTTTGATGTATTCTGTCATATCATTGGTGCTAAATACCATAACATGTAACTGGTGTGGCTCTAAAGATCAGAGACCAGAGTAACTTCAAAGAGATCTTTGGTCTGATGTGGAGCTCTGAAAATGTATAAACCATCGTTTAAATAAGAAGCACAAAGAGAAGCAGCTCAGGCTGACGCCTCATACACAAAAACGAAAGGACAGTAAAAGCTTAAAACATGAAAATGGCCAATAGATGGTGCTATAGTCCAATAAGTATGTAACGTTAGAAGAACTTTAAGGAGGTTTTTATGTACTGTATGTACATGTGTGCATGTGACATGCAGTATATATATTTTTTTTTCTCACTTGGGAAGGAAAAAACAAGCTAAAAACTAGGAATCACTATTATACTGTATGTACTTGTCGATCACTTAAATACTTCATGGTATCTTTATGTTGGTTTTTTTTTATTGAATAAAAATAAAATTGAATTTTTAATCCAACAATTTAAAGAAAGTGTTCTATAACTTAAGCCACAATTTCCCAAATTTAAATCATGTTCAATCTAGAGCCTGGTCCATGGCTCTCTAACCTTAAACACTAAAATATTTACTTGTATAGTAGATGAACTTTGTGTCTGGAAAAAGTGTACTCTACTGCATGAAGAAGTTTACTTCCATTGTTATCTATAGTTTGCAACAAAGATATCTCTGCCCATCTTTTATATCCGGTTTATAAACCTACATTACCTACCTTCTACAACCTACCAAATCCAATTGGTCTCGAGCCGCTATTTGAGAAACCCCGCACTGGTCTGGTGTGTTTACGGTTTAAAAGCAGGGTGGAGACGGGGTTGGGCCTCCTGTTATTCCTCCTTGGTTTTCTCCTTCCCTGCTCCGCGCCGCTGCTCTCTGATTGGCCGCTGTGCTGCATCGCTTAGCGGCCTGACCCACAGCTCTGACCGGGGGAAGCAGAAGTGTCAATGTCAAAGGATCCCGGATCAGCTGTTTTCTCTCAGCAACATCCACACATAGATAAGAGCAGCGACTGTTGATAAATCGAGGGGAAAAGGATCGGAGTCACAAACTCAGCAGCAGCAGCTTTTTGACGTTATTTTCAGGTAGGAACAAAATGATGGCTGTTAGCCAGCATGCTAGCTTCATCTTCAGGAATTGTTCCGCAAAGAAAACATTTATAATCCTAACCCCTCTTCTTGCTAAAAACAAAGGCTGTGATGATCGACCGGCCAGTATTATTTTTCGAAATCACATCGACTAGTGGTTTTAATTGTAAGAGTCCCATAACGCCTTAATAGAATTACATTATTTTTCTTTTATTTAAATTGTTGCATATGATTAAAATTGACGGAGAGATTTGACTGTGGCACTCGTTTTCTGTGGCCGTGACTAAGCTGCTCCATAAAAATAAGTTGTTTGCCAACTGGTAACATAAGACGCTGTGACCTAGTTTTGTTTTTGTGTTTTATTCAATCGTCCTCACTCTTGCTTGTGTTCTACAGTATTCAAGCAGCATGAACTCACTCCCAGGTAGAACAGCCCTGTCCCTGTGCAGACGCACGGCGGCGGGCGGCGGACTGCGGATCTTTCCTGGGTCTCAGTCGGCTCATCCTGCAAGTCTTCAGCCCGCAGACCTGACTCGTTTTCAGGCCATCAGAGTGTGCAGCTCCGGGAAGAGCCATAAAGGCAGCGTCAGCACCAAGAAACGGGGCTACGACATCACTAGAAACCCACACCTCAATAAGGTAAACTTTTTGAAGCTTAACATTACCATTGCAAGATGCACACGTTATTGTAGTTCATAAATTGGGTCTAAAAAGTACATATTATGGCCAATTGTGGAAGTGGAATATGTAAATGTGGTCTTTAGCTTCTTCTATTTAATGCTATGTAAAGTTAAAGAAGTGTAGGAGTTAAGGTGCGAGAGAAGGAGGAACCACTCATCGCCGGTGTTATAGTCCATTATCCAGGTAGTGTTGCTCCTAATTGTTCTGCTGTGATATGTCTGTCGGTTAATTGCAAGTCTTAAAATTAATTGTTGACCAGATTACATGATTAGATTGTTGAACAAAAACGTTGATCTTGCAGCAGCACAAAGTGGTAACACCCAGGAGTAAAGACAGCGAATCAAACAATAAAAATCAACCTTTGTAACGAGCCGTGATCTGTCCTTATCACAACTAACCGTGCACCATATTGGTGTATAATATAATGACAAGATACGGTGGAGAAAGATTGACTTTCATCAAGGTCACGTCAGTTCGTAGGTGAGCAGAGGACAATGGGTTTTCTGAAGTTGTCGTGGTTTAAAACTGAGTTAGTTTGTCTGTTAAAAGGCATCAAAAAGGCAATAAAACCTCAACGACACATTTTATCCCTAACAAGTATCAAAGGTTTAGCACCAACGTACATAGCCTTTAATTTCTTACTGCAGTGAACAAACACTGATTTGGGCTCCACTTCCTGTCTGCGTGACTTTCTTAGGTTTTTCTTTGTCAGCAAAAAAAAAAAAAGACCATGTCCCACCTCCTATCAGTCTTAGTCAAAGCAATAAACCCATCTCAAATCTCTGGCAACTGTTCCACTGTCCTCAAAGAACCGCAGAGCAGCAAAATCCTTAAGATTTGGTGGATGATTTTTAGACATGTTCTGGTTCCACTGCCACTGGAGCTGCACTTTATTCACAGTTTTCTTTACTGTTATATTTTATAATGAAAATATAATAGGGATGAATTGTTCACCAGTGTGGTTTTTGTCACAGCTGAAATACCTTTACTTCATGTGTTACTAGTGAAACGTATGTATTTTTTGTATTTATTTCAAGCTTTATTGCCTTCACTGGGGGAACATTTTGTTTTCTGTAGACACAGTCATGCACATGGAGAGCCAGTGATTATACACAACATTGTGTTTGTGAGGCAGGGTCAGTGCCAAGGGCAGGACTTGGCAGAGGTGTAGGACAAAGTGCCCTTAAAATATTATAAATTACTTTTTGAAATTTTAAGTAGGGATGCTTTTAGCGCACCGTTAAAATAAACTCAAAACCTGCAAAACTCGAGCGGGAAACATCACGGTCGATCAGGTGAGTGCATCATTTTAAAAGTGCCTCTTTAATAATATATTGAATTATATAAAAATAAAACATTCAGACAAAGGTATAGATTGAAGGAAAATACTTACAAGAGCAGCCAAAGATCAGAGCGTAATGGAGCCTAAACTTCCATTTAGACAAGAAGTATCTGAGCTTTGACCTAAAAACAGGAACCAAGTAACTGTTCCTGTTACAGTCAGTCATGGTAGGAAGCACCAATTGCAGCACTTTGGGAGACTCTCTTCAGGTGCAGCAGGTTTATTAACAGTGCAAAAACTAACAGGAATAAAGCATCAACTACGTGTACGCGCTTGTCCAATATTACAGACTTTCATAAAACTCAAGGACAGCTCCAGGAGACAGATAACACGCTAACAATAACAGACCAATGATCCCACCAAGACAGAGTCAGGGACAGGTGTATATATATACCCAGGCTACCAGGTGACACCAGTGAGACTAACGACAGAGACACAGGTGATTGTGGTGACACTGATTAACCTCACACAGCAGGAACAGGAAACAGACTGACCTTACAGTTCATAAATGTAAAAAAACAAAGCAATTTAATTTGTTCTCTTCTGTCTGTGTGAGGTGCTTCAGTGTTACAGCAGCAGTCGACACCTTTACATTTCTTTGCTGCGTCCTAATGTGTTGTAAACATTATTGGCTTGGAAAGGTGTCGCAGGTATTTTTAATCTGTCCTTCACACGAACTCACTCCTGTTTGGTATTTACCCTGCTGCAGCACTGAGTGCTGACTGCAACAGAAACCTGTTTCCACCAC